AAGCTACAGTTTCATGTTCAAACTTTAAATTGAAGACAAATTGGAGAGCAAGATCTTGAAAATGTGTAGTACAAAAAGAGGGAACTAAATCAAGGAAACAAAATAATAGCTAAAATGAAAGCTGGAAAAGAAATGGGCAGATTGCTGTTTGTGTCTAGTAGGGGTAGAACAAGGAATGATAAATGTAAATCGTAGGCAATGGTTATTAAGATTAGAGTTTAGAGGAAACTATTTAACAACAGGCCAGTGAAGTGCTGGAACCAACTGCTTTGGAACGGCTGCAGAACCCCTGTTGAGGGAAGATTTCAAGAACAGGGTAGGTAATTACCCATAAGGTAAATGGCACAGGGTGCTGGACCAAACAATGCAATCTGTTCCACTCTTTTTTGATGTTATTTGTCCCACATCCCTTTTCACAGCTCAGTATACAAATGGATCAGCTAAATCTGTGGCTGCAAATGTGGAAATCAAGCCTTTTACCTACCATCCAAGTAAAAATTGCAACCAGAGTTCTGCTGACAGGAAGAATGTACATAGAGAATGACTCCCCTCTCTGTCCAAACAAGTGATTGTTAAAAATCTGATCTGTCAGTTTCTAGTGGATAATACTGATTTAATTCCTTATGGCTGTAAGATTCCCTTATAATCTGTGTTCCTGGACACAGCTATTTTAAATGCCCAATGTCAATAGCTACTACACCTCCCTCCTCAACTACAGTAACTGTCACTGAATATACATGCCTCTGCTCTTGGTTTGGCTCAACAGGCACAAAACTCTGCATCAACACAGATTGCATGACTTCTCATCTAGTCTGCTTTTTGTCTACTCCTTTTACAGTGACTGCTTTCAAGACATGCTGAAAGTGCCTCCTGATCCACATTACAGGTACACAGCCTTACATGTCTTCCCTGTGCATCTTCTTAACGTGGACGTAGTGCAGAAGGTTTCCTTCTGTAATTCAGCAACATTTCAAACACGTATAAAGGCAATTGAAGCTCTCACTTCATATGCAAAGCCCTGCACTGAGCCAGTTAGATGTATTCTGTGGAAGTTGTGAAGTTCTGAATTTTACACAGAATTCCTATTTCGATACAGGAAAGCACATACTGGAGCACTGCTGAAGAATGGAAATCAACTGTTCTGGTTTGTGCAGCTCTTGCTCTATGTCACATTCCAAGTCAAAAATGTTATTCTTAAGTGCTATGGCAAGGAAACAAGTTAAATCTCTTTTCACGTCACAAAAAACTTTGACAAAAATCAGAATGATGAATAAACGCTACTTCACTTTTTAAAATAACTAATTGCTCTTACTTAAATCATGGTTATGTTGCTGTAAATGTTTATGCCTGCAGCCTTCTGCAGCAGAGTTCCTGTAGCAGCAATCACAAGTCCTGTTCTCTGGAGCAGTGAAAACTCAGCAACAAAAGACTCGTGACTGAAGTGCGGGATCAGATGATCAGTTCATTCAATATTAGAAACACAGGGAGGATAAAATCCATGCAATTACCTTCCCTCTTCGAGAAGGAGGGAGGAAAAGAAGGGATCTGAGTACCTGTGAGGAGGGCGTGGTAATGCAGACCTTTCTCTTTATCCTCATGACAGCAGACATCAAATAAATATGCTTTGATGGGGCCATCAATAAAATCAGCTGCAAAATCAAAAAGCACTACTCCCAGCATGGTAATGATTATTGCCCACGTCTGCTGCTTTTGTCTCTCACCGATGAAAGCTACAAAAGAAAAACACCCTCATTCTGACAGCAACAGTACCATGTTCTGCAAAAACACATTTTATCTTTCCTGATACCTGCAAATCTAAACAATGCTTAGCTATGCAAAAGAGAGTTTGTGTTGATACCAGAATCCCATCAGAGAAGTAGGATAACTGAGTGCAGTGCTGAGCTGTGCTGGGTTGACTTACTACTTTGAGTCAGCATAAGGTCAGGGTACTGCAAGCTCCATGATCAAGAGCATCACTGGCCTTAATCTACTCCTTTGCATCTCCATGGCATGCTCTGGTAGACTATATACATGCACTTTGCAGTCCTTTTGTGCTGTATTCTATTTGCCCCACCCTTCCATCATTGTAGATAATCAAGAATTGGCTGTAACTCTTCGGGCAGATGAATAAAAGTTTATTTGCCACCAGTGATTATCAGGAAGAGAGAATAAATCAATTCACAAAAACACACACCTCCCCCCTCTGCCAAGTCATAGTGACAGCAACAGCTTTCCATCGACTCTGAGAACTACATCGCAAGCTGAAATACAGCAGCATCTAGGGATGTCATTCCTGTTCAATTTTGCACATTCCAGGTGCAACACGGTTTCCAAGGAATTGCAAATTTCTATAATTCACCAGCATAACATAGTTCTGAGTCAAGTCACTGCTCCAGCAATTAAAGATATGTATTTTAAATGGTCACCCATCTAAAATAGGGATTAAAAGTTATTCAGTTTGAATTAGTATTATGTCACACAGACAATATTTATTGCTTAATTTAACGAAGTAGATTTAAGCTCATAAAAACTTCTGTGGGCCTAAGCAGTGCTCTACTTACACGAACGGATCAGGCGACCACACAACATGCAACATACTGTAATCACATGCACAAACTACAGAACACTGTGTATGGGGTACGTAACACAGTGTTGGAATTCAACATATATTAAGATTTTAGTGTTCCCCAGCTCCTTCAATGCAGCTAAGCAACACTGTACCCAATTTTAACATGAGAAAAAATGAACCCCTCTTTTCTTTCAGATTCAAAAAGCTAGGATGAGTTTTGTCTGTCAGCACAGTGTATGCCCCTCACTCACCTGAGATCATCATGTCCCCATTGAGGTACAAAGCCATGCCTAACAGCATTATGATGCCCAGACCCAGAATGTAAGGTCGCCTCCTGCCCCAGCTACAGGTGCAGTGATCACTGGCTGAACCTACCACGGGCTGCAGCATGAAGCCCAGGATAGGGCTGATGAGCCACACCAGGCTGTAGAGGTTCTTGGGCAGCCCTACACTGAGCAGCACCGGCGTGACAAAGGCGGCCTCCACGGCATAGCAGAACTCCCGGCCGAACATCACCATGCTGTGCATGACCAGCCTTCCCACCGCTCGCTTCCTTGGCACTGCGGCTCCAGCCCTCCTCACAGACTGCAGCAGAGCCTCCTCTTCTTTGGTGCTATCCATATCTGCCTCGGCCACCTTGAAAGCGGGCAGAAACTCTCTCCTGTGAAGGTGATTGCCCTGGCTATGTGCGGCACGCTGGCGAGTGAGTGCTGCCCGCTCTGGCTGACATGGAGCCCAGGTCATATGCCGGGTGGGATCAGGCTGTGCTGGGGGAGGGACTCACATACTTTCATGGCTCTGTGATCGCAAGTTATGCAAGGAAGGGGGCGGGGAGATGTGTTAACTTGAGCAGATCTGAGCTCTTGGGCGTCTGCAAAGCTCCCAGCTATCCACAACTAATTACTGTTTAAGCATGAAACACACATATAGTGGGAACATACATCACGCGGGAATGGCACAGGATTAGCCTGCCACAAAGCTATTCCTCACTGCTGTTAAGACAGTGATGCCAAGAATACAGAACCCTCATCTCTCAGTTACACAAACATGAACACCCACCAGAGTTCCGGTTTCCCGTGGATTGAACAGGATGGCAAAAATCTAGAAGATGTGTCCAGAAAAGGATTTCAATGCACTTCATGTAGATAAGGAAATGAACGTACCTACTGTCCTGAAATGTTAGTGACAGATAAAAAGCGTAACAGATGCCTGTCAAACAGTAACTGGCTGTTATTTTTGTGTACCTGCTGTGTGCCATCCCTAGTACAACCACTCATTTCCTTGGTTTCTCAGAACAAAGGTATCAGGATCACTTACACTCAGAGAAGGCCTTAAAAGAAATCTGTAGTGACATACCAAGACTGTACCCTTTAGATTAGCCACCTGTGTGAGGCAGCTGATCCAACCTGCACTGGAGTTAAAATGAGTCTTTTTAAATTGACTTCAGCAATTTTGGGGTCAAAAGTTATGTGCACTGGAGATTACATCTGATAAGGTTTATTGCTGTCCGACATGATCAGATGCAGCTGGGACTAAGCAAATTGTCACCTCTTACTGTAAAGGTACGTAATATTCAGTAATTGCCTTTAGTGTGATTATTAGCTGGAAACTTAAGATGCTTCTGTTGATTGTTTATCTAATTTGTCAGGACCTACTAGGTAAATCTTGCTTTCATGCACGTGTTCATGCAGTAGAATGTAAAAGGTGTTTTTATAGCAACAACACTGACAATTTCAGCATGACACATGTAAAATCAGCTAAACTCTTTCGAAGACTTTGTCAGCAACAAGCTAATCTTTGGCAAGGTAAACACTCTGACATAATGAACTAAAACAGCACCTCATATCGTAATTGCTGACATGTCAGACGAAAGAAAACTATATTAAGGCCATATAACTAATTCTTTTTAAAAGCGGTTTTCTTTTGCCTAGAAGGAGACTGTTTCAAATGATGGTTTAATTTTGAAGGAAATGAAAACCACTGTGGAATAACCACTGTTTACAACCTGTGCAGCTAAGCTGCCTACCATTTCATCCAAAAAGAGAGGAAAGGATTAATACTTGGCTGCTATTTTAAAGTAACAAATTTAATTCTGAAGTGATTTTCTAGGCAAACTGGAATTCCAAATGTAATATAATGAGGAGACTGCATTAAGAAAATGTAGTCAGGCTATTAAATAGAATTACTTTATGATAATAACTCTGCAGCAGCACATAGGAAAACAGCATTATTTCAATGACTGTTTTGGCATGATACGGCAAATGAACTAACATGATAAGAGGAAAAAAGATCCCTTTTCATCAATGAATAAACACCACAACCACTTGTTTAGGAAGAATATAACTCTTATTTTATGAAAAGTAGTGCCTTCATGTAATTACAACCTATATTACAATGCAACAGCGTAACTAAGAATTAAAAGAAACAAATGTTTCACAGGAGACAATATTTAATGAAGAATTTTGAGGATTTTCAGCTGCTTATTAAGCCAGCTGTGTAGATCTTCAGAACACAATCCTGGTGTCATCCCAGACTCCGCAACACCCAGGTACACGTGTACACAGCTCCCACTATTTTCAATTAAATTTAGAACTTCAATAACTTTTCTTTAAATTATTTCAAAGCAGTATCATAGAAACATTTTTGTTACATAATTCAATTTTTAATGCATAAAACCTTACTGTATCAGCCTGAAATTTGTCTGATGTACATAGTCAGTGATTATAAATTAGATTTTGGGTTCCTGAATTCTATCACTTTATCAGAATAAAGTTTAGCAATCTCTTGCTTAGTGAATCCATATTCCAGAAGTACCTCTTCCGTGTGTTCTCCTATAAAAGGATCTCTTTTACACGACGGAACAGCAGGCGTCCTTGATAGAAGAGGAGCAGGTCTGGGACTTATCTCTTCCTGATCATTCCTGATAAAAGACCTTCTTTGTTTGTTATGCTGATGTGAGGCAACATCATCAAAGGATAAAACAGGAGTCACACAGGCATCAGTACCATCAAATATATTGCACCACTCAGCTTGTGTCTTCTGTGCGAATATGGATGCAATTTTTTTCTTCATTTTCGGCCAGTCAGAGAAACTCAACTGACTGGGAAGTTTATCTGAATCTAGCCCAAGACCTGAAAGGAGAAGAGCAAAGTTTAACTGTAACATAACTCAGATAAATTACCAAGTGCTACTCACAACTAGGTATGTTTCTCAAGAAGCTAATATTTCATAAGCAGTCCAACACAGCAGAGAATATTAGCTAAGAGTCATTTCAAACTTTAGTAGGGTACCTATGAGGGGGAGGGAGCAGGAGAATAAAATGTTCTATTACTTGCAATTAGACTAACCTGCATCAGCTACAGCCTTTTAACTGAGTGTATATAATAAACACTCATTAGTACAAATACTGCATAAGAGTAGCAGCTGCCTAGAAATAACATTTTTTCCTGAGAACATTTTCTACAATAGGTATTGTATTCTCTAGCTGGCAGTAGCAACACAAAAGTCTGCTGGACGAGGCCTTGGGTGACATGGTTTAGTGTGAGGTGTCCCTGCCCATGGCAGGGGGGTTGGAACTTGATGATCTTAAGGTCATTTCCAACCCTAACTATTCTATGATTCTATGATTCTGTGAATGCATTTTGGTTTACAACAATATGCTTCTATCTCGTAAAAGCCAGTACATCAGCCAGAGCTGGACATTCAGCAGGCTACTGTGTTTGAAGTCCAATACAACTGGGTTATTTACATGCCAGAGATGAGAAGATGGTGAGGATGGATATACGGAGGCTCAACGTGCATGAGGTAGCTCAGCTGCAGATGCCCGCAGGTTAACTGACTGCTTCTTGACTCCCTCAGTCCTACAGCAGTGTTTGCTGCCCTCCTCTCTTTAAAGCACACTTTCCAGGGTCCAACTCTCTACTGCTGCTCTTCCAGAAAATAAAACCCATAGTTCCTGCACTCACTAACTGCTTAAGAACTCTGCTTCCCAGAAGATCAGCTGCATGGACTAGGTATGCAGTATGCACATCCCTTCTAAGACACAGGAGCAGAAGATGGACACACAGGCTTTGTACTGAAAAATCCCTGAACTAGAGATGTCTTAGGTCCTCAAAATTAAGGGGCATGAACATAGCAGGAAAATTTTAAGAAAAAAAAGGGATAAGAAGTTAAACTGAGAACTTAGAAAAGCTGGAGAACAACTATCATAATGCTTCACAAGCAACAAGAAGAGGGAGCTGCTTAGAAAACAACAGCTCTGTGTAAACAGCAAGGAAAATGTGGATTGCTGCAAACACCTGATTTTGAGCATTCTTTCCTGTGTCTTTGAATACCTGGTATCAGATTAATGATCTGACTTGCAACTGATAACAGGCTTGGCTACACTGATCTCCTCTAATCTTTAGCTGCAGATAGGCAGAAAGAAATCTGTGTACTTCTATTTCTACAGCTTAGTTGTTACTGAGAGTGGTAGACACATAGCTACTGAAACATACAGGGGAGAACAAAGGAAGACAATACCCTTTCTTGTGTTCTTTAAATTCTTTCTTTCTGCTCATAATCTCTACTACATGCACCTCCTGGGGCTCACAGTTTCCCCCAAGTAATCATAGTATTTAAGAATTACACTGTTGAGCACGAGATACTTACTAGCTTTGAAAACGAATATATACTTTGAAATCTTAACTTTGGTACTGCAAAGAGAAACACAGAGAAATTGCCAGTCTCCAGACTCAGGAATAGAGCCTTGCAGTTGTTCATGTTCAGAAGAAAATCAACACAGTCAAAGACAGAATAGGCATTTTCATAGCTTATTAAGAGATTATACGGGTATCAGGATAAATATTACTACAAGGTAAACATCACTCCTTATCAAGTTACCAAAGCGTGGGCACTTTAAATCACTGAACTTACAATCTAGACTTCATAGCCATTCATATCATCCTAAAAATTTATCAGCTGATGATTACTCATATTTGTTGAGCATCTGTAACTAAAGCTTTCAAATTAACTTTATTATTGATCTTCAAAGTATACTACTAAAGATATACAGGGCTATATCGCTTTCTTAAGAACTAGGTGAGGCAAATTTATTTTCCACAAAAGCTAAGTAATAACACACTGAGATACTGTCTCAATGCACGAAACACTGTCAGTTGGAAACACTGTTTTGTAAGTATTTATCTGCATATTAATTATTGTTTGGTTTCTAGTAGACAGTCCAACATCAACAGAGCTCTACCATTATCCCATTACACAATTATATTAAAGATCATGCCAGATGGAAAGTTGGCTCAACCTAACCATACAGGCTCTAGCAAAATAGAACAATATGCAGAACCTGGAATTTAATATCATATGCTCATTTTCCACTGACCACTGAAGACTTCAACTTTAAATAGCATAAACTGACAGCATTTAAGCACTACAGCTTCTCATTTTTCAGCTTGTGCTAACCATTTGTGGTGCAGACAAGCAGAATCACAGCAGGAGCGACTGAGTCAACAAGGAAACAATTACACAGCACAGAACTGTTTGGGATACCACAGGATGACATATTTCACCCAACATAATCAAAAGTGAAGTATCTTTTACACAGAATATCTGGTAAAGCAATCACATCTTGTTTCCAAGGTTTTTTTGTCCAAATTTTCATGTATGGATTTTTTGTTTAGAAAAGCCAGGCAAACTGCCCTCTTACAGCTTTGAAATAACTGTTCTTGAAAAATCACAGAAATCACCCTGAATCATTAGGGTTGGAAGGATTCTCTGGAGATCATTTAGTTCAAGCCCCTGCCAAAGCAGGGCTACCTACAGCAGGTTACACAGGAACACCTTCAGGCAGGGTGTGAATGTCTCCAGAGAGGGAGACACCACAACGCCCCTGGGGCAGCCTGTTTCAGTGCTCTGCCACCCTCTACGTAAAGTTCTTCCTCATCTTGAGGTGAAACTTCTCATGTTTTAGTTTACAGCCATTGCTTCTCGTCCTGTCACTGGCCACCACTGAAAAGAGCCTGAAAAATGAAGTCTCCTTATAACGATATAGCTTTAAGTCTCCTTTAAATGCTAGAGTTTTACTGGCATACATCTGCCTGTCATTTATTAATGCAACAAATTGATATCTCTGTCACTACAGACCTTCTTAGACAAACTGCAGTAAAATTAGCCACTCATTTCGTGAGACAGACAACAGAAAAATTCATTAGATAGATCTGCAAAGTTGTTTTGATAAGTTGGAAACAAGCAGTTTCTTACAGGATTTCAACCATACTTTTTAAAAGATTATTTATGATCCCTAGCAGAGGGGGTTTCTTGGTTTAACTTGCTGATTTTGATTTTCTTTTCAAAATTCTATGCTCATGGCATAGTGATTTTGAATTTAGGTTGCCATCATGCATTCCCAAGTAGGGGTATCTTTAATTTTGGCCAAAACCCCAGCCACAACATGTATGACATTGCTCTCTCTCTCTAAATAGAAGTAATTCTCACTCTGAGAAGGAATTGACTTCAGCATATTCCAAAACAGCAGTGAATTTTCACTAAAGTAACCATGTGAAGGTTTTTTTTCTCTGCTCAAAGTTCCTGAAACAAAGTAAGTTTTTGGAAATTTTAGACAATTCAGTAAAAGGTTTATCAGACCCAGAGCATCACTACAAATGCATCCACAGCCATACTGCAAGTCTACATATTTAATTACCACAACTGCAAATGTTTTGGCGCAGCAGTAAGCTGCCCCGCTACAGTATTTGTACAATATGTAAGGCTTATCTTCATAAGTAAACTCAAATAAAACTCAACAGTATATGTAACTGAGGGAATGTAATGATAACTGTTCCTCCACTTTGTTCATCTTAATAACCATGTTGTACTGAATTCAGCACATGAGCAGATTTTTAATACATTACACAATACTTTACAATCACAAAATGGAGAACCGTGTGGAAGTCCTTCGTAATGATATAATCTATGTTTTTCAAGTGCTTCCTAATTTTTTTTCCTTCTTTTTAAATAGAAGCCACACAATGTAGGAGTATCAAAGTAGTTTGAAAAGAGTACTGTCAAAGTTCACCTTACTAACTTATTGTGTGGTATACTACATGATAATGCAGGATGAAACAATTACTACTATATACTACTATATACAAAATCATAGAATCATAGAATGGTTTGGGTTAGTAAACTAAGCCTGCGTAGTCCAGATGGATCTCAAAGGCCCTGTAGCTCAGTCAGAGCTGTGAGGTTACAGGAGGATACAGAAGTTATAGCATGAGAAATGTTACTGGCTTTGTTAAGCAAGTCTATTGTACGATCACAGTGGTTTGCTATAATTCATAGAATCATAGAATCATAGAACAGTTAGGGTTGGAAAGGACCTTAAGATCATCTAGTTCCAACCCCCTGCCATGGGCAGGGACACCTCTCACTAAATCATGTCACCCAGTGCTTTCCCCAAACTGGCCTTGAACACCACCAGGAATGGAGCATTCACCACTTCCTTGGGCAACCCATTCCAGTGCCTCACCACTCTCACAGTAAAGAACTTCCTCCTTATATCCAATCTAAACTTCCCCTGTTTAAGTTTTAACCCGTTACCCCTTGTCTTATCACTGCAGTCCCCAATGAAGTGGCCCTCTCCAGCATCCTTGTAGGCCCCCTTCAGATAATCTACTGTGTTCTGCATGCCTGTTGTAGCCTGGCTACAGCAATATCAAGCACACAGCTAAAAATCAAGAGAAACCTGCAGAAGCAATTTACAGGTCAGCTGGAACACATTCTGTCTCTTTCAAAATATTAGTAGCATATGTTTCTTGCATCAGATTTTTCATAAGATGCAAAGGCATTTTAGTTATTTGATGGCTGAATTTTGTAGTAATGAAATTAATATAAGTAAAAGGATTATAGAATGTTAACAGCAAGTAGTCTATAGTGAGCCCAGATTACAATCTTAATACTACAACTATTATTTACCATATCTATTTTATATAGCTTCAGTTTCTCACATAACTTAAAAAAATAATAAATTGTACATTTGTGGTAAGCAGAAATTTAATTTTCCCTACCAAGCACAACCTACAAAGCCAATAACCTTCTTGAACAAAGATGCTCTTGGCTGAGGAAGGTGATCCCCCATGTTGTATCACTTGTTCGCAAACATGAGTTCTAAGCTACTCAATCTTGAAAAAGAAAGTATAGAAGTTATGTAAGAAGTTATTCTACACTTTGCAGTTCTTTGATTCTCGTCAAATCCCTTGGGATTTTTCTACTTGTGGGAAATGGAGTTGGAGAACAAAAGTAAATGGTAACAAAGTAAAACAGAAGCCTGTAAATTAGGGAATTTGGAATTTCAACATGTCTTCAGGGACAATGCCTGTATTAAATACAAAGAAAACAAGAAAAGAATATATCTGCTCATTCAAATACCCACGTTTGGCTTAAAGTCATCAAACACTGGCCTGCAGCATTCATGGCTGCAGTATTTTATACTTCTCTACAGATTAAGTTGAATAGCACTTACTTTAAAGCTACAGGAGTGGGGTGGGATGGAAAGTATGTTAGTTTAAAAAGAAAAATTCTGTAACTGTCTGGTCTTATTTGTCATTCTTCTTCTCAGTGAATCTTTGCTGGATGCTCCAGCGTTCTCTTATTGATAACTACTACACGGCAAGACTCGGGCTTTTGTCTCTCAACCAGCCAGTCACCTTATCTAGAAAGCAGTGTCTGATGGATGCATGCAGTGGTCAAGCAATACAGCATGATCACTGACTAGTCTCTGTCCTACTTAGACAGCTTTTCACTTAAGAAAATGCTAGAATTCTGAGTTCCTCTTAGTTATTTCTCAGAAATTTGGAGCATAAAGTTGAAGCAGCAACTCAGAATTCATCTGCCTATTTTGGGGCAAGCACATTGGGCAACTTTATGTTCATTTTTCAAAGTATTCTTTATACTTACAATGCATAGGAATAGCTTGATTTTAATAGATAAATTTTAAAAAATAGTTACTCAGCAATAAAGAACTGGTGTGCCTGTCTGTAAGCGGACAACAACTTCGGTCACAGTGCCTGCGTGCCAGTCTGCAGCTATCATTTAAAAAAAAACAAACACACACTACTACCTTCTAAGGAAATTTTGCTTTTTGCCTCTATTTGTATCACAACCTTTGCTTTTTTACAGTCATAAGATCATAAAATGTTTTAGGTTGGAAGGGTTCTTGAAGAGCATCTAGATCCAACCCCCTGCCATGGGCAGGGACACCTTCCCCTAGACCAGGTTGCTCCAAGCCCCGTCCAACCTGGCCTTGAACACTGCCAGGGATGGGGCAGCCGCAGCTTCTCTTGGCACCTGTACCAGTGCCTCACCACCCTCAGAGGGGAGTATTTTTCTCCTAGTATCTAACCTAAATCTCTCCTCCTCCAGCTTAAATCCATTCCCCCTTGTCCTGCCACTGTATGTCCTTGTAAAAAGTCCTTATAAAATGTCAATAATGTTTCTCTCGGGTTTTTTGTATGCATTTGTTGCTTAAAGTATCAGACCAAACTTAAGATTTTTTTCACAATACTGTATTTACAATAAGCGGTCTTTCTTTATTGTATTTTAGGTGCATATTATGAATTATTCATATTTTCACGTGAGAAATATTTATCCCCTTCAGCAGTTACAGTTGCAAGCTTTCTGAAGCAATAAAGTAGTGAGCTAGAGCAGATTCTTCTTGTGGCTTAGGGAATTTTCCTTTCTGGGAGTTCTATTTCAGAAATTCAATTCAGAATTTAAGCCTTTAAGAGTTATAAGGAAGAAAAAGCTGCTTGTGAGAATTGTATTGCTCTTTCACAAACCTTAGGGGTTTTGACTTAAGCTGAGTTGTCTGTTTCAGGCATTAATTCCCTGCTTTGAAGTAGTTTTAAAATGGTACGTTCCAATTTCCACAGTTTATTTCATACTTGTTTTTTTTTTAATCCATAATTCTGGTCAGTTTTGCCTGTGAACAGTTTAGTGCTGCTCCAGATAAAATATATTCAAATGCCACTTTATGTCTCTCTGTCCATATTTGGAGAGTACGTTACTTTAGTCACTCCTATATAACAAGAACACAAGGACATGGGTGTTGCAAATATAAGAGCTGGAGATTTAGACACTGCAGAACTGCAAAAGGAACATGATTTCTGAACCATTTGTCACTGCCCTCAGAATTCTGGTTAGCTGAAGTGAAACTAATGTCCTTTTGGTTTTGATTCCCTGCAGTGATTCCCTGCAGAATTAAGAACCCAGTGCTGGATCACACTGCAGTTAATAACATGACATGGCAAGGAAAGTTCTTAAGGGGTCTGCAGGAGGAAACTAAGTTTAAGAAAATACAGAAGCACCTTGGGAGCACCACAGGTTGCAAGAGAACAAAGCCATAATGTATAGAAGAAGATCTGTCTTTGGGATCCTGCTCACCAACTGCATACCCCACCTTGCAGCCCCACAACTTCATTTCATCTTACCATGCTCCTGAACTTCAACATCTCCTGGATATGCAGGCCCTGAGGAGTGTCCCCTCCCAACCTCCCCCCAGTTTTATTTCTGAGACAATATGGTCTCATATGGTCACTATATGCTGTGGAACACCCCTTGGGTCAATTGGGGTCAGCTGTCCTGGCTGTGCTCCCTCTCAACTCCTTGTGCATCCCCAGCCTCCTCACTCAGTGTGAGGAGCAGAAAAGGCCTTGGCTCTGTATAAGCACTGCTGAGCAGTAACTAAACCATCCATGTGCTATCAGCACAATCCTCAGTACAAATCCGAAACATCAGCCCATACAAGCTTCTAGAAAGAAACTGAACTCCATCACAGCCAAAACCAGTACAGGTATCCATGCTGCAATTCAAGGAATAATCAGTTGGCAGAGACTGAACAAGAATCAGGAGCTACTCCACTGACACCCTCACTCAGCAAAGGTTTAGCACATGCACATACAAAAATAGTTCATATAACTAGGTACATCCACTTTAGGTATGCCCTTTGTTAGTATTCCTTCTACTCAGCAAAACTAAAACTAGATTGAGAACGTATATCCTTCATATTCAGAATAATGGAAATAGAATAAATCTGAAATTATGTTGAATTTTTTTGTATTTTCATGAAATCTGTACAGAAAGCATTGCAATCTACCAAAGGAGCACAACAGAAGAAATTATTTTTAAATTAAATAACTGTTAAGAAGCTAAGAGCACATCTGATTTAAAAGCTTGCAGCACACAAACAGTTCAGAAATACAGAGGCACCTGCAAATTTGTTTTACCTTCAGAAAATTATTTTTCATGACCATTCTAATTTTTCAGATAAACCATATTTTACAGTCATACTTAAAGACTCTCCTGTCAAATATAAAAATTATATCTACAAGTGGACACTAAAAGGCCCTCTTGAAATTGTGTGGTGGAAATTAATTTATAAAGCTGATTTTGCTGCTGGAAAAAATCTGTTCTATCAAGAAATACTATGAATTACTTCCAATGCGCATTCATTTCTGAAGCAATTGAAATAGCTTCTTTTTAAAAAGAATTACATCAAAAACACCTAAAATAGCTTGAAATTTCATATGCAATACTGAAGAATTAGGTCTCATTTTTGAAGTACATTCACAATCCCTTGAAAAAATTGGTTTTCCAAAACAGTTATTTAGTGCTCCAGCCACATCACAGGCAAACCTTCCTGTAACTACAGAAGAAAACCTGTAATTTAAGAGTAGTTTTTGAAGGTAAGGTGAAGAAGGGATGAAAAAAGAAAGAAACCAAATACTAGAAGAGACTCAACTAAAGTGCTATGCTACTACCCAATTCATTTCAAGAAGAGTTTGGCTTTTAGAAAGAAATCAACATAACCAATGTAATGGATCAGTAAAGAATTAATTGAATCATGCTTTGCTAATGTGAAAAAACTGCTCCGAGCTACTTACCCTTTATTAACTGCTCATAGAATTGAGGCTCAATGGCACCAACAGCCACAAACTTTCCATCAGAGGTCTTGTAGGTTTCATAAAAAGGTGCACCACTATCTAGCATGTTCTCACCTCGAGGTCTGTTCCAAAGTCCCAGATTCTGTGATTTCCACAGGAAAGAACTTATGTATGCTACTCCTTCCACCTTGAAGGTTCAAAGGAAAAAGCAACAGCTTCAGTAAATTATCTGGCATGTTACCTTAATTCTACATAAAACAAAACAGCAAAAACCCTACTGCCAGTTCAGTCCTTTGTTAAGATTTTTAATGACAAGATCTCTTGTAAGCAGCTTGATTTCTTAAAATTCTCCATTACTGGTCATATTGCATATGTGAAGTCATCTAGAGTTAGAGACTAAGAAGGAGCATAAATGTAATAATGCAGCTTCAGATGGATAACACACTTTCAACATACAAAGTTTGTTAGTTTAGCAAGTTTGCAAACACTAGTAATCCAAGGAGAACTACTCACAAAGAGAATGTAAGTAATTTTAGGTGATGGAACAAGCTTTTTGGTGCTACAGAACATTAAGTAATGTGACAGTCGTCTGGAAATCAAGATGTCTATACCAGTCCGTTAAGTATCAAATTTTTTATCTTAACATTACTTCTTTGAAGTTACAGATTATAAAGAGACTGCTATTTTTAGAAGAAAACTGGAAGGAAATCAAAGGTTAAGGCTCTCTTATATCATGGGAACTGGGAAGCTCATCTCCATCATTAAGTTAAAACAGAAATTATTCTCCTACTCTCATTGCTGGCAGGTACACAGACATAAGGTTATCCTAAATAGGTAAGTGTTCGATGCATATGGCACTAAAAGAAAAATTATTAAACCTGTTCACTCCTTAAAATTTTGGCTATGTGGAGTACAACCATATGAAAATTTAGTTTGTTCAGCCTTTCAGTAATTCTCAAGCTTGTACCAGTCTTCCCAAGCAAAATCACATCCTACAGTTCTGCTCACCAGCAGCATCCATTCTGTTTTTACAACTGCATTAGAAAAACTGTGAGAGAAGGTGAGGCAGTAACAGCACCAGTCAGAAACATTGCAGTGGAACAGAGGAAAACATGAGCTGTATTGTTTTGAGTATCGTTTTGATTCACACATTTTCAGCTGTGCAAAATTAACCTAATGTTGTCTATAGAGAAAATCACACAGATTGGACCAAAATAAAAAGCCACTGAATTTTCATGTGGAAAGGTTTATTAGTTTCTACCTTTCTAAGCAAGAATTTAAAGCATGCAAATCTTTGAAGTATGCCTGCACGAAGGCTTCTTCATTTAATGTGTATCACTTGGTGTCTTTATGAAGTACCTGCCACAAGGAGGACAGGAACACTTTTGCCCTACTTGTCATATGTTAAAGTCAGTTAAAATACTTTTGTATGAGAAAATACTGTATACCTTCCCCTATATGTTTGCAAAATGATTGCAGGGATATCAAAACAGTGCTTTACTAATGATCTGTTACACTGCTCACACTGACAAAAAAAAACCACTAACAAACAACAAACCAAACCGCCCCCCCACCCCCCCCCCAATATCTGAAGTAAGGTTTCATTTCATAATAATAGAAGGGAATAATATCAGAATAAGCTCTAACTGCAAATTAGATTTTGGTTCTGACAGAACTACTTAATACCTATATACAATGCTACTTGCCCTGGAAACACTTAGAATAGCATGTGGTTTGGACTAGTATAGGGGATTACAGAAATATCCTGGTTGGACAACTGGACAGATAGGTTCCACCTGAGGCCCACTGCAATTCAGAGACAAGTATAAAGGTGTCTAACAGCAGCAGCAAAGCTCCAAAGGCACATCACACACAATGTCACTTTCTTTCAAAAAATGAAAAGCACAACAGGGGGAGACTCCACTTAAGCCAGACTGCAAAGTGATTACAGTAACAGTTATAGGTTTCACTTAATGGTTGCCTCATGCTAAAAGCAGTCTCTGAAGCAGGACAAGAATTCAGAGGCACTGGGTGACCTGACCTGTCTGCTACATGTCTTCTGTTCCTTCTTCAAAGTGAAGGAGTTCAAACAAAGCTGAGAATGATTCCATATCAAACTCATCTTTATCCTCATGACAAAAGAATGCCTCTAGGGTGTAAAAGCTTTGGTTTTGAATATCTCCAGGCTGAGAAAAACGTGGAACCCCAGACTTCCATTGAACAGCTCAATGCTCTTGCCATGGGGCTATTGCACAAGCTGTCATTACCACCATCATCTCCTGCAGCTATCTTTTCACAAAGAGTGAGTCACATTTAATCAGATGCCTACCATCAGGAGACACCGTCTGAATTTGGAGTGAACCTGAAGTATGGCCCTGACTCACATGCCTCTATTTCAGTATGGTGCAGCAGTGCAGATGTACAATTGTGCCTACTGTATCACATTGCAGTGTCCACCCCACATCCTACTCAGCACATGGGAACTATGAGGCCCACTCTAAGAAACGTATGATACCTCTAGAGTCAATGAGAAGAGACAGCAACTAACATAAACCAATTCAGATCAGGCACTTCATTCTTCTAAGGTAGACAGCTGAAACACAGGATCCAGCATCTACTTTTTGCACAGGGCAACAATAACACTGGACACTGCAATTAGGTGACGGAATTTTAGCCCTTAGTCTGATCCTCTGTGTGCAATTTTTGTACCAGTTTAGTTTCACCAAGTAGAGGGCTTCCTTGTGTGTATTTTACTGATTGTTAAGAATGCTCACAAGCCATTTTTCAGCTTTCAGCACAGTAATTAGAAATAAAAGATAAATAACAAAAACTGTTCTATTGCAAAAAAATCAGATCTCAATCTAGAACTAGTAACCTCAAAGACAATGAATAATTACGTTTTTAGATTACTTCAGAAAAATAGACATTGTAATAAGTGGGAAAAAAAACAAACAAGTGGTCAGTAAAACAATCCATGAAGATGAAAATTTAACAAAAGTAATCCTGAAGACACAAAGCTGCTGAAACAGAAATTCAGCTCCCCTATTCTGCCACAGAAAATTCCACCATGTGTCAGAGTCCTTAGGTATTCAGGCTACCTGAACTGTGCAACAACTTAAGTAATACGCCTTTAAAGTAAAAAAGAATGTTAAAATGACAGCTGAAATGATGCTGTGTTTCGCTTTTGAAAATATCTACTTCCATGAAAGAAGCTTAAGATATAAAACCAGGCTCATCAACCCAGTCTATTTAACTGTCTTTGCTGTTGATGGGGCATGTATGGTTCTCATTAACTGCTCACTGAAAGTCTTTTCAAGTGAAAGGAATGTAACAATATGCCAGATAAAGTACGTTTTGTAATAGTGGACAATACCCCTCCATTTCACAGGACACCAGAAACATCAGCAGAGAACTGTAAATTCCACATCTACAATGAGACAAGAAAAAATTTAAAGAGGGAAGTTTTGAGGGCTTAAAAAAAAAACCACAAAAAGCCGTTACACATTCCATTCCCAGTAAGCCACAGATCTCATTAGGACATTAGCAGGCTTACATTGATTCTTCTTATAACAAATTCTTTTAATAATTTAAAGTACCAATAGTGAGAATAAGGTAATACTCTAAACTGCAAGAAATATCTTTTAAAATATTTGAAGACCTGTCACAATTCTCCACAGTTCTCTCTTCACAAAAATGCAGACTCCATGAATTTTCCTTTGTAGCTCATGTATTTAGACTCAGGTCACTTTTGTTGTATTTATTGGACTTCCTCAAATTGCCCTTAGAAATGTTGAATAGAAACTTTGCTGACTCTACTTCCTGTTTATATATCCCAATACAGTGTGCATGTGTTTTACAACAACATGATATTGTTCACTCATGTTCAGCTTGTGACTACTATAAACCCCCAGGATTGTACTTTAGCCAATTGTTTTCATACAGCCTTTGTGCAGCTAATTGTTTCTGCCTAGAACTACAGAGCAGTGGTCTCCATGAATTTCAGCCAATTTGCTTCAGGTCATTTCTCCAATTTGACAAGGTCATTTTCAGTACTAATCCAAGTGTTCAACATTCCTGTAGCTCTTCCCACATGCATATAGTTTGTAAATCTACTAAACACAATCACTCATCCGTTATTCAGCTTATTGGAGAAAACACTAAGAGATATTTGTAGAATTTAACTTCGTAAGCTTTTTGTTTTGACAATCAATTACTAACAACTATTGCCCAGGTAAAAACATTAGACCAGTTTTGCACTGATCCCATAGGATTTTTATGTAGACCATAATGCTGTGGCCTGCTTCTGAGAATGTCATGAATTTGCCAAAAATTTTTTCAAGTAAGCTCTCTTGCTATGCTTTTCTTTACAAGACCTCTTCAACAAAGCTATTCTGTTCAAATAATGTATTATTTTTAAATTTATATTTAAGTCCAAATCATAGCCTTCACTCTACCATAACACTTTGGAGGGAGGTCAGATTTTAATTGCAATGATCTTTAAAAACAGAGACAGAGAGAAAAACCACTTGCAGGTAATGAAGGTTTCAAGGATAAATATAAATGTGAATTTTTCCTCTTTGTCTAAGTGGGTAGCCTTGCAGTGAAAAAACCCATGGTATTCATTATTAAGCTAATTTAGCCTTTCATCCATTTTATGACACATTAATGCAAAGTGTCTGAAACTGACTTCTTGGCAATAATCCATAGCAGTGTAATTATTCTAGGGAGCAGTGGCTATAGTAAGCCATGACATGACCTGTCATAAATTCATAACCAGATGTACCTTGGATAAAGCTAATGTAATTCTTTATTAGGTTTGTCATTTTTGCTATTATTCATGATATTAATCATAGAATCACAGAACAGTTTGGGTAGGAAAGGACCTTAAAGATCATTTAGTTCCAACCCCCTGCCATGGGCAGTGACAACTTCCACTAGACAAGTTGCTCCAAGCCCTGTCCAATTTGGCCTTAAACACTGCCAGGGATGGGGCAGACACAGCTTCTCTGCACAGCCTGTTCCAGTGTCTCCCCACCCTCATAGTAAACAACTTCTTCCTAATGTTTAAATTTCCCCTCCTTCATTTTATAGCCATTCCCCTTTGTCCTATCCCTACATGTCCTTGTAAAAAGTCCCTCTCCAGCCTTATTGGAGGCCTATTTCCATACACCAAACTTACTCATCAAATATATACAGCTAGTATTTTCTGAAGAAGGCAGACTGGAAAAAAAGACAGGGAGTGGCACAGGGTTACAGCTGCAGTATGTGTCCCACATCATAAGGATGTTATGGCAACACTGATATGTGAAAACTGCTTGTACATGAACGAATAGCCATTTTATGAGATTGCTTACTTCCCCTTTCCCAAGTTCTCAATCTTAAACCTTATAAAGTTTAACCTTAAAAGCTCAGAATTCCTCCCTTTTACAGAGTTAAAGTAGGAAAAATGCAAACAGGTAAACCTAAGAAATTCTATTTGAGACCAAACTTACCATACTTGCATCAATGATCTGCCCTTTGCCAGATTTGGTACGTTCATAGAGAGCTGTAATAATGCCCAGTGCACATATGACACCTCCACCAGCAAAATCAGCTAGGAGATTTAAGGGTGCATAAGGATTTTCATCTTTTCTACCCATCTTTGACAGCACACCTGACAGTAGAGCAAAAAAAGCAAGCATAAGCATAAAATTCACTATAAATACTCACTTTTACATTTCATTCTTTTTCATCTGTGCAAGTAAACAAGGGATAAAGCAAACTTCTAACAACAGTTTTCTGTCTCAGCCATTTCTTAGCAAACAGTTAATCTTTCGTTTGTAAAGTATGCAATATATGACATCATATTAGTGAAGATGCATTTAATTAAAGAGATTTTAATAAAACTCTTGGAAATAAACCATTGATAATTCAGCTATATACGGACAAAATTTCATCCAAAAGACCTGGTGTGCAGTAAGTCTGTATTACTGCTTTGTACACACACAGAACCTCCTCTGTAAGAACTCAACAGGCATTATGAACATGTCTCAAAGCAACTTTGGTAAATTGTACTTCTTTTAATCTTTTAAGTAAAGAATGCAGATGTAGTCTTCTCTGAAAACCCATCACAACACATGAATTTACACCAACAACTGCACTTCAGTACTATCCTCCCTCTTCAACTACCCTTGGGAAAAAAAAAAGGTTGCATATAGGAGGAATGGGTGAATAACACAGAAAGATTACCTCTTATTACATGCAACACAGACACAGAGAACCTGTGTTTAAGCAGAAATGGAACGGAATAGAGCAAAGGCTAAGGCAGTTTACTTCAGATGGAGCTCTTAATCTGCTAGCTTTTCTCTGCCATCCTGAACCACCTCTTTAATGTCACCTGACTCTTTGTAGCTCCCTCACAGTAATTCCCTTTTGGCCAGCAAGATGCTCTGCAGTATAGCTGCATGTCCCTTGTGCCTGTAGCCTCAAGTCTGAGACTTGCAGCATACATGGTCAGTCTCCTGAGAACCGCCTGACCTGATGCACTGTTTAGCTAGCTAATGGTTTGATGAACACAAGCGCAAGCAACTGAGTGCACAGTATAAATAAGTTTCCAAAGCCTGCAGTGCAAACAAACCCAGTCACTGACTAAAACCTCACTTTTAATAGTCAAAAGGTCATCAGAGGCACCAGCAGATTAATGTATTAACTTACAGCTGGAGTTTCTAATGCAGCCTATTTTTCTTTTTTAGTTAAAGAAATCCAAAGCTCATCTGGAAAATACTCAGGATACATGTTCTCTTTTTTGAGGAATGTTACCTCCTAAACACCTTGTCCCATTTCCTTCAAAAAGGCAGAAAAGAATTGACTGTGAAATTTCACGCAAAATTATTAAATTTTAGGGAGACAGCATTAACCAAAATACTGATTAAGTCATCTCCAGAGGAAAAAACAAAAAACCAAAACCCTGAACAAGAAACCCACGTTTCCTTCCTTTTGTAAACAGAAAGCACTACAATCTGAGGTAGCGATGACTATACCGTCTCTGTACTGTCTCCCTATGCTAATAACAAAGAAAAATGTCATAATACTTTAAAATTACCTGGACATGAAGTCAAAAGTGTTTAAAATGAGGCAACATTCCTTTTACACTTTTTTATTCTCTGACAATTTAAATACTGAGAAGACCTTTAGCCCTTTGCTAGAGAAATGTAATTCCACTGACTATAGCAGGTGATACTGAATCACCATATTTGCAGTGCTTCTACTCTGGCCTTTGTTTAGGGCTAAAAGAAATGCTTTATGCAGTGGAAAGCCAAGAAGTTTTGGGCCACTTCTTCTCCTCTCTCACAGGCTGGGAGAAGCAGCGGAGAAGAAGTAGTGTGAACACTAGTCAGTGGGATGATGCATGACACACTGACTGCTATCACCACAGTAGGGTAATTTTGTTATTGTTTGTTACTGCATACTTGGAGGATCACGATACTTAAAACCAACATACTGTCTCCAGCTTAAGGAAACACAGAATTGCCACTTCAAGCCCACCTTCCTTTCACTTGGTATCAATGGAGGGATATTTACAGCAGATACGCGCAAGAGCTCACATGGGTGAGGATGCCTAGTTTTTCTTTGCTCAAAAAAAGCTGCTCACAAACATGGAGAATAATCTGCAGCCTTTGGGGGGTTATAAACATACAGATTTTATAGGAAAAAGGCCCTGAAGAAAGGTAAAAAGGCATAAAAACTTCAGTCCTCTCTTCAAAGAGGAAAACTTTATTCAGCTAAAACAGCACAAAGGAAGGAAAATGCCATACAGCCTCAGAAGGCAGCCCCTGTGGCTGCCAAAACTAACAGCCTGTCCAGGCCATGTTTGCTCCTTTCTTTTGCTTTTTTTTTGCATTTGTTGAATCACTTAATGAAATGCTTCACTTCAATATCCTGACAGAAAAACATCCTCATTTCTCCTGGCCAGTTTCTAATGTTTGAAGGAGCTTACAGAGGGATTAAGCAAGTACCATAGCTGACTGGGGAGAAAGCAGGAGAGAGGTGCAGGGAGAAAAGAAAGAAACTCTCCTCTCACTGACAGACACTGCTCAGCTGTGTATCAGGTAATTTGAGCTATCTGCAAATAACCTTTCGATAAATTCTTGAGTCTTGATTTAAGAGGGAGAGGTAGAGCTTACTTGTCAGGAAATTTTACAGCCTACCTGATAAAGCCAAATAATTGATGTCATGCCCTGCTGACTTAGCATATTTTCCTGTCTGGCCAAATCCAGTAAGTCTAGCGTAGATGAGTCTGGGATTCTCCTGCAGAAGTGCATCTGGACCAAGCCCAAGTTTTTCCATGACACCTTAAAAAGACAAAGACAGAGAATCCTAACTCACATTTATTTTTCTTAAAACTCAAAAGGTCCATGGTTCAAAGTTAAATCATACAACAACAAAACTGAATAGCAATTTATGAAGGAATAGATGATAATTCAGTAGCCATATTACAGCAGAACCAACCAGAATGTTATAAATTACCAACATATCTATACACACAGATTTTTTTGATACAAGTCAATTAAACAGATATGAAGCTTTAAGGTCTTTTTATTTTTTCCTTAGGATCCTTTCTTCTTTTCAGATCCTTTTCCTGTTTTACTTCTCCAAAAGACTGCCAGGCAGCTTGTTGTAATCCATGTACTGCTGAACGAGAGAAAGCTACCACAGGCTTGTTAAAAAAAAAAAAAAAGAGAGAGAAAGAGAGAAAAGAGCAAACTTTTATATTTTTCACAGTAAAATGACCTGAAATTGCTTTTATCTTTCCCTGGAATATACTTTCCTCACCATATTAGCCTCTCAGTATTCTGTGTGATCTTGCATCATTCAACTCACTGATATGGATGGATGATGCCAGTATTCCACAAAATTATTTGTAACAACTGCACAAAAGAAAACACGTTCTTTTGTAACACAGAGACTCAGGAACCTTCAGAAATCAATGAAATGTAAGTTTGGTCAGCACGGAGTTACAGTTAATCAAGGCTAAAATTTTGATCTTGCAGCCTAAAATTGTGGGTTTATATGAAGTAAATTCAAATTGCAAATAAATGAAAGATTTTAATTGGCTTAGTGCAGCTTGGCCAGACTATGCTCTATAATCTACACTGGCACTGCAGAGAGACACATTTTGGAGGGGGACAGCATAATGTCAATGCCTGTTCTACTCCAGAATTTATTACTGCAACTTGTTTCACAGGCTAGCCCATAATATTGCTAAATATTTAATAGATCCTTGAGATCCATTTCTACTGTATTTCTTACTGGGCAGTGACAAGTGATTAACGCCAGGGAGAATTATACAGTTAAATTTGGTAAAGAGCAGGATTTTCAAAACACAGGTGAGAACCGAGTGCCAAATACCCCCTGCTATTAGAAAGTCATTGTCCAAAGGTCAACAGTACCCGTGTATTTAAAGAAACTCTCCCGTCACTTGTGTCTTCATCTTTTCATTGGTTCACACTAGCTTCATGCTCAATCACAGATTTGCCTAGCTCAGTTACAAGCCCACAAAGCCTAACATCCAGCTACAAAATTATCTGCAATTCCAGATTAAAGAACAAAACAAAAATAAAAAACCAAATGCCTACGTAACCGAAGAAAACAGAAACTTCCACTAGAAAACAGACAACTAGCTACAATGAAAAACAGGATTTAATGTCTTAATTTTGGTTGCACAGCTTCTGAGGAACTGAACAAAAAAATCTTAGGGTAAAAAACATCACAACCATGAACCCATTTTCAGAATGCAAAGCATTATCCATGACACAGGATATATAAGCGTTTTTATAATGTGTGATGTTTAACTGACAGAGCCTTCTATTTCTCAGCTGACCTCAGAAACCCCAAAACACTTCAGTTAGCTCCTCACTGAAGCATGATCACAGGATGGTCTGGGTTGGAAGGGACCTTTAAAGGTCATCCAGTCCAACCCCGCCTACCATGAGCAGGCCATCTTCAATGAGATCTGCTTGCTCAGAGCTCTGTCCAATCTGACTTTGATGATACTCTTCCTAACACAACAGCGTCTTCAAGGAGCAGCACAGATACTGAAATGCCCCATGCATAAGCATGAGTGCCTGTGTATGGTTTATAGAAGCATGTTAAATCTGTTGTCTTCAGAGTAATGGAGTAGAGAAAGCTCAGGGGAGACCTTATTGCTCTCTACAACTACCTGAAAGGAAGAGAGGTAGGTCTCTTCTCCCCAGCAACAAGCAATAAGACAAGAGTTAACGGCCTCAAGCTGCACTAGGGGAAGCTTAGACTGGAAATTAGGAAAACTTTCTTCACCAAGAGGGTGCTCAGGCACTGCAACAGGCTGCCCAGAGCACTGGTGGAATCACTGTCCCTGCAAGTGTTCAAAACCATGTAAGGCTCTTGATACGGTTTAGGGATGGATTTGGCAGCCCTGGGGTAGCGGTTGGACTTGATGACCTTAAAGGCCTTTTCCAACCTGAGTCTATGAATCATACGCTTTGAGAGTTGGACCACTATCTGCTACATCTTAGTCACAAGCTAACCTTACAAATCAGCAGGCCTGACAATCACTGCAGGACCAACGCCCCCGCTCTGTGCACAGCTCCTCAGCTCAGCCAAACCCTTGTGCCACCCAGAACTATTTGTTCAGTGTCTGTCAGTGGGGCAACCCCTTGTCCAGCCAGCTGGCTGAGCACCTTCCACGGCTTCTTCCCTGGGCCGCTGCAGGGCTGCTGCGCTCCACAAACCCCAGTACGCCCCGCAGCGGTCTTCACCCGACATAACCCGGCAGACGCTGCTCCCTTCCCTCAAGCCCCTCAGCACCGCACCCCACGGCCCCCTCACGGCCACGCAAGCGATCCCCACCTCCGGGCAGCCCCGCTCCCATTACCCTACCCCGCTCCTCCCCGGGCCGTCCCCGCCTCACCGTGGCGGAAGGGCTCGATGAGCACGTCCGCCGTGCAGCACAGCCGCCGCAGCGCCGCGGCGCCCGGGGGCCGCTTGAGGTCGAGGGCCAAGGAGCGCTTGCCGCGGCCCTGCACGTCGGTGGAGACGGCGGAGCGGGGAGCCCGGTCCACCCGCACCACGCTGGCGCCGAAGTCGGCGAGGATCATGCCGCAGAGCGGCGCCGGCGCCAAGCCGGCCAGCTCCAGCACCCGCACTCCGCTTAGCGCCATGGCGGCTGATGTCTGCCGAGCGCCGAGAGATCGATCCCCGCCGCCGCTCTGCCCGCGCCGAGGCGGTTCCGGGGATGGGCTCGGCGGCCCCCGCGCCCTCGGGTGCCGCGGGAGGAGCGCGCTGTGCCCGGCAGCGCTGTTCCCTTGCCTGTCCCCGGGGACGGGGGAGGCTCGACGGGCAGCTCGCCAGTGGAGACAGCCTGTGCTGTCCCGCCGCCGCATCGCTTGAGCTCTGGGCTGCCTGGTGTTACTCCTCCGCACCGTGGGGTAACAAGAAACAGGTATTCTCCTGCCTCACCTCAATCTCCCTTGGTCACACTGTGGAGTATTAGGGAAAGAGCTGATTAAAACGTGGGGTGTTTTTTCACCAGGTGTGCTTTCAAACTGGGCTGTCTGATCCTGCTGCTCCTGCTCCGTCGGCCGTGAGCAGGTCCCCCTGTCTCCTCGGGGGACAGAGCCCACCACTGGGGTACTGATGTCTTCAGCAGCCCCTGAAGAGTCTGGTCAGGACAGGGCTGCCACTGGGATCTTAAATAAACACAGATTTTAATCAGATCTTGATGCTTGCAGTTCACCTGTGCGGAGCCCTTCGCTCAGCAGTGCCACAGAGAGGAGGCCATCAGCCATCTGCTGGCCAAAAGCGTTGCGGGGCTTCAGCCAGAAATGCCTCCTGTTTCCCTTCCGCAGAGCACAGGGGTTTTATGTTTGATTAAATCAGACCAGGTTTAATAAAGCCCACATTCACACACAGCTGCTGTTTTAGTGCAGCCTGCCAGAAACGGAGCCATGTTTGACTGGAGGCCGCGGTCGTTTTGTTTTTGTTTAGGCTGCTCACAGGAGCAGACATCCATCTAGGAGAGGTGATGAAACAGGCATTGAATTAATGCAACTTTTCAAAACTGTGGCTTGTTCCCCATGTTTCAATTAGGAGACGGAGCAAAGAGAGCCTTAAAATCAATTCCATGGTCATTTTATTGATTTCTTTGAAGTTGCTGGGCTCCCAAAGTGTGTAAGGCTGCAAATATGAATGCAGAATTTGTTCAAACTCTACAATAACAGAAGAGGTCTATAGCCAGAATAGCTGTCATTTTGCAGGTAGACGCCTGGTCCTGCAATGCAGGTATTTGTTGTATCCATGGCCATGGTGCCACCCACAAGAAATGGTGGGGAGAACAATATGTGCATTTTCATTCAAATGAAGTTGGTTTGTTTTATTTATTATCCATCTGTCCAACAGCCACTATTCCATGGAAAGGTTTGTTTCCAAGGCATCATCATGTTACTGGGACAATGCATTTCTTTGAATTATTTTCAGTTTCATTTATCCCCTCTCACCTCTGGGTCTTGGAGCTTGTGTTGAATAGGAACAGGCAATTCTGTTGTGTAGCCTTCTTTCATTTCACCTGCCCCTGTTTATTTTGTTACATCCAAATAGCACCATAATCACAAACACACTCGATAATGTCTGGATTTTGCTATGGGTTAACTGAGTAGCCCTTTGCACTTGTCTTTTTTGTTGTCATGCCCCATTACGATGGGTATTCTGTGACAGAAACATTCGTGTCAGGACCTTATTAAATTCTTTCCGTTTCAGGGAGGTGAGAGCAGCATATTATGGAAAAAAAAATGTATTTCAAGAGACTATGAAATAAACAGGCATGAGAAAGACAGAAATTCCAATTAACCAAGAGATGAGGCAGATGATTTGAATCCAGTAAACTCTCCTGAGCCAGCAAGCTGGGCAGCAGAAAATATATGTTAAAAACGAGGAGCAATCCCCTAGCATGGGCTTGCAGTAAAAATGGTACCTATGCAATACCATTTAATCTACATAATTAATATGCAGCAGCAAGTAGGTGGCTATGTGAATTCAGCTCTGGAGAGGCAGTGAGTAGAGGAAAAAGGAGATTGGAGGTTACAACCCCAGTGTGTGTGGCAGGACACTTAGTTGTGTTTCACACCTTGTCAGACTGCTTTGTGAGCTTTATTGAATTACATCAGTTAGTCTGTGTCCTGTGAAATGTTTGTAATTCCTATACTGAAATCAGTGTACTTTGTAGTCAGTGTTAAAAAATAATTACATTATATATACTGTATGTTACGTCAACATTTCTTGCAGAAGTACAGGCATTTCTGTGGTACAGGCTAGCTTCACTGTGTACAAGACTTTTACAGCTTGTATCAGATTTGTTTTTTTCTGACTTTTCAGTCCTTTGGAAAAACACCTCTTTGTTTTTCAAAAAAAGCAGTGTGAAGTTACAGCTATACACAAAACCTGGATTCTCCCCTTTCACATGTGTATTGTTTGTAATTTAGTCCATCTTAATACATGGTTAAAGAGATACTGGTATCAGTTCAGATAGGTTGGGGTCTATTAAATGGAAAAGCAAGAATCGCTCACTTCTGTTGTAGTATTTGAAATCTTGATAATTATAATTGTCTAAAATGCAAGTACTAGGTCACTACTTCAGGTGAAACTTCTCTAGTCAATTCAAATGTATCAACATTAATCTGAAATCGAGAACTTGTTAAGGATTCTCATGAAATTTAAGGTAGTGTCCCAATTTTATGAAAGGTTTCAAGCATGAGTGCTTTATCCCAAGTCCGAATGTATGCCTTGCTTGAATTAAATCTGTGCTCCGTAACACTTCTCTCAATGTACACGATACTCCTCATTTCTGACCTTACACGGTGTGTTGTCCTGACGCACTGTCCTTCCTTCAACACATTTGTCAAATGCAGCAAATTAGTCTCCACAATTTCATTAAGTTCTTCAGTTTGGAGCATCTCTTTGTTTTTCTGCGTTTCTCTGCTGCTGTGTGAGTGTGGGTTTGCACATTATCACTCTCTCTCTTAAGTGTATATTCTACCACATAACAGCAAAAAGCCCCAGAGCGAACCTACCCTGAGATCTATACATCCCTCTAAAGTAGCTGTGAATTTGTGCTCTTTGAAAATCTGGTTGGTTGTCTGAGATTATGTATTACAGAGATAGACATAAAAGCTCAGTCTCATCCACAGAAAGTAATTGCATAAGCTGCCTTGTGCTGCTTCATTAAAACTGACGTATTCTAGAAAAACTACTGTTTGTGAGTTGTTTCATCCAGTCATAAGGGTGATGGTCTGTCGGAGCTGCAGTGAATAAGCTTTGCCATTAACTGTCACAGTGCCGAAAATTTGCATCCTGTTACTCTGTTAAAGTAGGATAACAAATTATTGATGCCTGTGACAGTGATTTCTGGTCTTTAGATGTTTACCCTTATACCTGAATCAAAATACCTTTACTTCATTTGAGTCACTGCTTATGGTATTATTGTGCTTTCATGATTTAGATGAAATGACTGGCAAGTAGCTTTATATAGCTAATCTTTATATTGGCTAATGAGTAGAAAATAAATATTTTCCTGGGAGTTTATTATTAACCAACATTGTGGGGACTGGAAACTCTAGACCACAGTTATTCCCAGATTTTGTTTGTCTGGATACTGAGCTTCAGCTCTGTGCTGGGCACCACACATACTACTGCTTGGCCATCTGCCATGAACTTATTTCCAGCGAGCCATTCCTGCTGGATACTATTGTCCACTGCATTCATTAAAGACAATTTCTCATGCATTGCTAGTGCAATAGATAAGCCTTTGTTTTTATAAAATATTTCCATCACCTTGCCCCTGAACCATTCAGCTGCACCTTAGCTATGGCATACCTGGTTCATGATCTTTATTTTGTGTGCCCTTGATAATATGAGAAAGCAGACATGGGCCATTCTGAGAAGCAGGTAGTTTTGGAGGAAAGCAAGCATTGATCTGAAGTGATGCAGTATCAGAAAGATTTTATGCAAAACAATCAGACTTCTATTCTTTTATAGGTTAAATGATGATCAAAAATTGAATTTCATTCAGCACTTTCAGCAGCAGAGCAGGAGTTTTCACATGACAGAATGGTACACTCTGAATTCCCATCTACTGGCCTGAAGTTCCTGTCCTGAGGGACTTTCTTGACTCTCATCAACTTAAGTGTTCTGCAGGAGCTTGGAGAGGTTTTATTTCAAAGAATTGCTAAGATTGAAAAAGTCAACTCTTCGAATCTGAGAAAATGCTAAAATGGAAGTTGCCGCTGTGAATTTAATTCAGCTGTTCTTCCTTACTCTTTCTGTGGTAATAGGGCTTCATTAACTATACATTTGGATTGAGTTACTGAATGAATCTGATTTATATTCATCTCTTGCTATCACATTCTCATCACATAGATATGGCCCATGCCTCATTCAGCAAGCATTATACAATTATACAATTGCTGCTGGATGAGGCCGAGAAGTAGCATGTGACTAGATAATGGGAGGAACATACTGTGAGACACATTCACAGGGAACTGGAGCTAAGATGTCGAAGATGGTTTTAACATGGGTATTTCCATTCTTGATGTTGTAATAATGTGATTCTTTTAAAACACTGCGTTTTGTGGAATTTCTCATGTCTGCTGGATTGTTTTCAGAAAAGCAGAAGGAAGAATCTCCATTTGTGCAATTTTTCTTCAGTGAACACATGAAGTCTTTGTTTAACAAAACCTTGCAGCATATGGGTTTTATTATTCTGTGAATGTGTTCATGGAGGATGCCCTGCCCGAGTTCAGATGGAGATGCACAATATTGAGCCTCTACCACTGATGGCTTTAAAGTCTCCGTGCAAACCATGTTGGTGACATGGACAGTGGGATTCAGTGCACCCTCAGCAAGTTTGCCAGTCACACCAAGCTGTGTGGTTCGGTTGATATGCTGGAGGGAAGGAATACCATCTAGAGGGACCTCGACACACTTGTGAGGTGGGCTGATGCCAACCGTGTGAAGTTCTCAACATAAAAAGGACATGAAACTGTTGGAACAAGTCCAGAGGAGGCCATGAGTATGAGCAGGGGACTGGAGCACCTCCCATATGAAGACAGGCTGAGAAAGTTGGGGCTGTTGAGCCTGGAGAAGAGAAGGCTGCGTGGAGACCTCATAGCAGCCTTCCAGTATCTGAAGGGGGCCTATAGGGACACTGGGGAGAGACTCTTCATTAGGGACTGCAGTGATAGGACAAGGGGTAATAGGTTAGAACTTAAACAGGGGAAGTTTCGATTGGATATAAGGAAGAAGTTCTTCACTGTGAGGGTGCTGAGACACTGGAATGGTTTGCCCATGGAAGTTGTGAATGCTCCATCCCTGGCAGTGTTCAAGGCCAGGTTGGACCACGTTGGGTGAGATGATTTACTGTGAGATGTCCCTGCCCATGGCAGGTGGGTTGGAACTAGATGATCTTAAGGTCCTTTCCAACCCTAACTATTCTATGATTCTAAACAACTATGTGCTGATTTCATTAATCCAGTGATAGAAGACAGCAACTGAGCCAGTCATTCTTGCTGAGAGGAAGTTGCCTTGTGAAGAAGCCGTCATAGTCTCTTCCCACAGCTATTGCCAGACCTTGTTCAACCTGCATGGTATTTGGGATGATGTACACACTACTGAATTAAATAGCAATAACAGTTTACATGTCTGGGAATTTTCAGAATGTTGTGTTACCAAAATGAATGTATTATACAACTACGTTAGCAAGACAGTCCTTTAGCCCAATGACAAGGAGCTGTCTTTTCTTGAGTACTACTTGAAAGGTAGAACAAACCAAGAATCAGCCCCAACAGACAGTTTTGCAAGCAGGCACCTTGCTATGCAGGCTAAGAGAGTTTAATTAGCATTAAACTAATGATGTAAGTCAAATGATAACTCTGGGCTGGAGAATAGACTCTGGTACAGGTTTATTTAGTATCAGTTTACTCAGAGAGCAGGGGAGAGTGAGGCTTGGGAGGTATGGCTGCTCTGTGCTACTACTCCTGTGCTACATAATTCCCTCAAGGAAATGATTTGATAATGAAATCAACGTGGCACTGCAGATGGTCTGACTCCAGCTAGGACCGTGTTCTTGAGCCCAAAGACTAAAGGAACAGTTGCCCTTTGGGGTAAGAGAGAATACTAAGAAGTACACGTTTTATGGAGTTATTTTAATTTATGAAGATTGTTTCTAGGGTTTGTGTCATTCTTCATTGGTATCCAAGTGTGACACCCAGCCTAGAGCACTGCTTTGTACAATTCCTTTTATTACTTCAGATTTTAAATCTGAACTGATCACCATGAGTCTTCATTTCCTTTGGTTGCTGAAGCAGAAGTAACTTCAAAACAAAGAAATTTTGGTAGTGATTCACCAAAATGAAGAACTGTGGGCTTTTCCACATACCACTCTGTGTCTTCCTGCATGTGTTGTCTTTGTGTGGGTTTTTTTTCTGGGTTTTTTTTTTTGTTTTTGAGCACAAACCATAATTTTAATAATGTGAATTAAGTAGGAGAAAAGCAGTTTTACTGAAAAAACACGCAGTTATTAAAAACTGCTTCCAACAGCATTAGGGTGTAACGTGGAAGCTCAATGCAGAATTTCACGGGGAAGATTAAAGATTTAAGTGAAGAGCATGTTCCTTATTTTCCCTTTAGAAAACTGCTGCTTTTTTTTAAAGACCCCCCTTTGGCTCCCAAGGTTTTCAGTGAGACTGTTGCTGCAAGGTGCTGTCAGTCTAATTTGCTTCCTCAGTCAGAATCAACTCAAATCACTCTCAGACCATGGACTGGCCTCTGAAATTAAAGCCATGGCTGGATTTTTTTCTCAAGCATTTCTAATTAAACTGCTTTCCTTTTCCTTTAAACACCATTCGTGAAACTGGGACCTAGATCTGAGATGTTTTCATTCAGCTCAGTCTCATTCTTGTTCATTCTAGTTTTTCTCACACAAAAGTTGTTTTAGCTCTGCCAAGGGGGTCTAACCAGCATCTATCAAGTTGCAGACAGCCCTATTTTGTGAAATGCAGTCCTTAATGCTCCTTATGAGAGCTGCTACTTTGCAAGGTTGTCACAGGGAAGGACAGTGGTCCCTGGGCCTCAGTGTGAAGGGGAGACAGAGAGCAGAGCTCAACTTGTCTCTGTGTAGGGCAGTGTTTTCTCCTCCTAGGATGCCAACTCCTACCACAGAGGCAGGATATCACCTACCAAACCAGAGCTCTATTGGCAGGCAGGAGCTTGCAGCTCTTGCCAAGTCTTGATTAAATGTGGGAGCTGATGGAATGGCAAAGGCAAGGAACCAGTAAGAATACTCCAAATTGTGGCTTTTTTGTTTCTAGAAGGTTTCTCACTTGTAACACAAATTACAAGATGCCACCTATTTTATAATAGAGGACAAAAGTCTGTGGCAGAAGACATTTTGTTTTCAGCATATGCTGAGCAAAAGGCTTTCATTTATCACCAGCTATGGAAAGATGACTAATTTTCATCAACATTTCTGGGAGAAAAAAAACATTCCACTGTAAAACTTGTTAATTTTGAGGAACGGGAACACACAGATTTTTACATCACCTGCTATATTTTGAAGGATCTTTAAAATTGATAGGGAGGTTAATTTGTAAAGTATTACAACACTCAGCAGAGCTTTCATGCAATAACTTTGCAGAAAAAAAGACTGTAGAGATTTCATACAAAAACTATGAAGTTTCAACCTTGATGTAAAAAGCTTCTTAGCTTTACCCTTGAATTAAGGCCATGCTGCAGTTTGTTGTTGCGGTGATTCTTAGTTGCTTTCCACTTTTAGCAGGCCAACTTGTGAAAGCAACGTAAAATGAGAATGGTGAAACTTGCTTTCTTTTATATCATGGCCATTACAAGAGAGAATGTAAAGGAGCTTAAAATGAGCATATATATTGTAGTTTCTAGGTGCTTTATTCTGACCAAGATAGATTAAAATAACCATGTCATAAAGGAAGATTAAGTTCCCAAAAGGAATCTTAGAGATTTAAATTTTATGTGTGTGCATAAATATACAAACATATATACGTGTAAAATAAACTTATTTTGACCCTTAGTGTTGGCTTTCTCCCATTCAGTAGCAAAATGAATGCTTAGGAATTAAGATACATCTCCATAGTCTCTAAATGGTAAGGTCCTTGTTAAATGTAGATATGAACAAACCAGTATAATTTTATGACTATTAATCTTTATTGGGTAAATGTATGTTTTACAAAGTAAGCAAACATTCCTAACACAAGAAATAAATTTTTTTCAGGTTTTTCCTACTGTGAAAATTAGCTTATGATGCCATATATCTCATACAATTTGTGCACTAATTCCAGAAGAGTAACATTATCTCATTACCTGGTGGGTGGATTTTCGTTTGAAGGCATGCCTGAATTTTACTAAAATGCTTATTAAAACAACAAGGTCACAGGTTTTGAAAACCTCTGTGATGCAAACCTGACCCAAGTTCATAAAGAGACAATAAAACTCATCAGATGGCAGTTCATTAATATTTTCAGTGGTTGATGCATAAAACTGAAAAATCACAAGTCATAATCATCAAGTATCAACATGCATTTTTCATCATAAGACATGGTTTACATACATTAGGAGCATGTACAAGGACATATAAATTCATAGGGCAGATTTTGATTGGTTTGCTCTGTGTCATGCTACTGATAATCTGTATCCAGTATAAAAGAATTTCATATAAATATTTTCCTAGTCCCACCTGCTTGTTATACATTAATAGCAGGTAACATCTGGTTAAAATGCAATGTCTGTTAAGATGTGATTTATGTTTCATTAGATTGTGTGTGGAGAGCCAGAATGTGCGGAAGATACATTCAAATTTCAGTGTTGTCTTAGTATGTTTGGTGTTGTTTCAGATGAAAAGAAAATAGTGAGGCAGGATCTCAGGTACCCAAATTCTGAAAAGCCAGTGGCAAATATTAATGCTGAAGAATGGCCCAGTTCACTGTGACCAGAACTTCTGAGACAGCCAGTGTTTGCTTTCACCAGTTAAATATTGAACTGACTTAGCTGCTGCTTTGCCCGGCTGCAATGACTTTTCCTGAAATACTCTTTCTTGGAAAGCTGCTAGGAAAATTGTATCAACAACTTCACTGTTAAGTAAATACGCAGTATTAGAAGGTACATCCTTCTAAAAGAGCTCCAAACTCCACAACACTTGTGTTTTTCTGTTTGTCCTGTGGGCATATTCCAGCTTCTCCAGCATATATGGCTGTGCTTTGACTCCTTACATTCAGTTACATCAGGTTTTAATAATTTTAAGGCTAGGAAGAAAAGTTACATTCCCCTGTCTGATCCCCATTACACTGCATGCTAAATTACCTTAGCTTCAAGCTACTACCAAGGCAAGAATTACTACCACTCATTTTTAAGAGAAACTGAGCATAAATATGTACTAAAAATCTGTGAAAAATGACACCAGATAAATCTTCAGAGGTTTGAGATGGAAATGCAATAAACCTGAATCCTTGACATCTGTATATTCACATTTTTTTCTTCTATTTGTAAAGCTCATTCTAGTCCAGTAAAAACTTCTTCATTTAAATCTGGTCTCAGTTGAGCCCACTTATAATTCTTTTAGGTCTGTTTCCATGATGCAAACTTAAATGAACACGTAATAACTAAATGAACAGAAAAACTTGAACTGATTGTTCAGTTCCTGACATACTTAACTGAAGTATATTTAGAGACAGAATTGACTTTACTGTGCAAACTGCTCTCTAAATGATTTTGAATCCTTTTCCTTTGGGTTTTTTTAGTCACTTTGGAGATGAGAGCAATAGCAACCTTTAACGATTCACTAGATACAACCCAGAAGACAATACATCTGTGAATCTGTGTGTCAGCTACCCAGTGTATTCAGCTCAATTCTGATACACAAATAGCAATGATGGTATAGCATCAATACAAGCCTTCTTGATCTTTCAATGTTGTAGTGCTATTCCACAGTCAAGAGAAAAATACCAGTTCCAAAAGAGAAGTTTTGTCAGATAAACATCTATTGGTTTTACTTGGTTTCAAAAAGAAGAAACCCAGCAAAGGTGGAGAAGCGCTGATGGTCCCCATGGAGGGCTCCGTTTCCCATCCGCAGCCAAACTTCATCTCCCTTGGCAAGTTTTAGGACTGCACTGTTTCCTGAAGTGTCTGCTTTCCCTTTTGATTCATAGCTAAGAATTAATATTTTAACAAGTCATCTGTTTGTTTCTCAACAATGACCAAGAAAACAACTTAAAAAAAAAAATAAAAAAAGCACATTGTTATCCTGAGCAAAACTTTCTTGAAAGGCTCACAAAAATTTTTTCAGCTTTATGAGGAAATTTTGGCATTTTTCTGCATTTGATTTCCTAGTCAAATTTTGCACTTTACCTTATTGCGTCCTTTCATTCCATTCTGAATTTTAATTTATATATTGTTTTCCAGGGTACAGGGACAAATTTGTTGTGTAATATAAAACCCTGCTCATTCACCACAACACTCCAGGTTTTTTCCTGTGCTGCTCTTTCGTTGGATTCATCCTGGCTAATCTGAAATGCCTTCAAATCAGGAGTCTTGTGTGCTGAGCCCCTGTGCTCCTGGCACAGGCAGTGGGCAGAGACAGCCAGCTCACTCCATCCTGAGGCCTTTTCATTGGAACGTAGGTGCGTTCAATACGGGCTAACGTGCTGCCTTTGTGTTAGTGTTGGCTCCCTTTCTTCCACCTGTTGTTCCACCTTTTCTGACATTAGTGCTTCAGAGAAAAAAAGTTGAGCACTTCTTTTTTCAGGAAAGACCTATTGGGAAGGAAGCAGCCTTTGGTGGTGTTTCAGGTGTGGGCTGTTGATGAAACCTTGACAGCATAAATGAACTTGCTGTCATCTAAGTGCCTAAAATACAGTGTAATCCATCTAAGCTTTTGTGTCTGTTTATTCAGGCTCAGGAGAGAATCTTGGTTTTGGTATCAGAGCCCTAGTTGATATTTAAGAAATAATGCTTTTTCTCAAACACTGTATATCTATATATTGATTTTTATTTTTTTTTTAGAGATCCTTCTGGCTACAGGCTACAAGCTTCTTGACTTGATCTATATATAAGTTGATAAGCTAGAAATGGATTCTATTCTTGGTGACCATCAAGCTAACATAAAGAGTTCAGAAATCTTTTGTTCCAACTGTGCTAATGATAACAAAGCCAGTGAAAGGAGGACCTTTGCTTCTTCCTCATCCTCACCACTGCAGTTTAATTGCTTTCCACCTTTAAACTAAATTCCTCTCCAACTAATCTTTAACAAGGCTGTAACTGAACACTCCCATTATGCTCTTTTTCTGACAGGCAAACAGAGGATGAAGATAGGTTGTAGCAGAATGACAGCATGTTACCACTGGACTTCAGCTCTTACTTGCAGTGCTAATTCCTTTTCCCTGAGCTTTGAGGGGCTTCTATTTAAGGCTGAATTTTAGGTCCAGGATGTGTGGCAGATATGATCCATATTTGCAAGTTGAAGAGTGCAAAATACAATAGTTATTCTTTTTTTTTATTATTTTGCCCCCCAGAATTTCTTCAAACAATCAACTATTTCATGTTTCTTGAAATATGAGCAAGCTATCACATCTGTGCAAACATGTCTTTAGCATTAAAATGGCATGGTCTTCACTTACCTGTACAAGCTGAAAACTGTATTACCATTATGCATCAGGTACACATACACTTCCTCCACATCTTCATGTTTCATCATATTGAAGGTGAAGAAATACACCCCTAAAAAAATACCAAATACAATGCATTTGCTTTATAGAGGGGTAGTCGTGCTATAGACCTGGGCTGCTTGCTTAGGAAACAACAGCTGAAGCCAAAATTGCCTTCCAGTTGTCAGTGGGTGTTTTGCTTCTGTTTATGGTGTGCCAAAATCTGGTTAATTTTTATTCTGCATATGGCAGGGGTTCAGGCACATCGTGTTCCAGAGAAATGACTGTATTTGAACATGGCAGGACCACTCATCCCTTCCTTCTCACTAAAAGGGACATTTCCTGCAGGCTGATTCTAGTAACCCTTCTCTCACCTTTTTTCCCCTCTATCTTGCTCCTGCCCTCTCCCAAAAGGGTGGCTCCAGGCCAGATAGGGCTCAACCTCAGAGGCTGTCAGACAGCCAGCATGTCACCTGGGTCAGGCAGGGCAGAAGTGGTTTTAGAAGCACGCACTGCTGCTCACTTGGTCTTACCCCATCTGGGACAATGCAGACGTAGCCACCACTTTCCCTTCTTGCACAACATATCCTTACAATAAACCTTTATCTTTTTACTCTGTCTCTGTCTGAAAGTTGCCAATGGTGCAACCATGGTATGTACCATGAGCTCTACAAGACTCCCACACACAGGAGACAAGCTCCTGGTTCCTGAACAATTAGTCTGTGGCACTGACCCTGCAATGGGAGCTTGAAGTTTGCATCAAAGTCATTAAATTATTGAGGGTCAAAGTTTATTGACATCTACATATACATTAACCTCAGAAGGAAGCAGCTGTGAGTACACACCCCCATAACTGTCAGTAAGATGTGCTACAGCATTCCTGGAAAGCCTGACTTCTATTTAATTGAATGTAATTTCCCATAATAGTGAGTAAATGAATGGCAGGGTGAGAAAGGCCAAGTGAAGGAAGATGGCTTTATGCTTTGCTCAGACATGGTTTTGATTATGGCCCTTCCTCCCCCATCTGCTATTGTTCTTCTTGTGCCACAGCTGTGTAAGATGGGGGGATGGATGCAGCTGAAAAATCACTCAGGAAAAGCTGTAATGCCTCATTTCCAGCCACACATCTCTTGCAGGCCAGCTCACAGCTGAACTGCTGTGAGGAAAGACAGGAATGAAGAGAGTGACTGGAGGCAGGAGGCGGCAACTGTGAAGCTGCTGCTGGTGCAACATCAAGACCATGGTTATCACAATGGCTGAAGGTCTAAAGGCCTCAAAGCAGATGGTCCTGCTCCTTCCTCAGCCCTGGCCATGCCCCTTCATCCTGCCTTTGTGTGAGCACTAGGCTCACTGGCTGGCAAGCCCTCTCTTTGCTCGCCTGGAAGTAGGCAGCAAGAGCTATGCAAAGTGAGCCTTATGCACTTTGCCTCTCTCACTTTTGAGAATGTAAAGTTTCTTATAATTATTGACCCCACTTCTCTCTATAGCTCCCATAATTGCTTTATTTAGTTTTGCAAACACTCACCATTCACTGGAGCACCAAATCTACCAGTCATGACATCAAAGAAATTCCCAACGTTGGTTTCAACACTGCTGAAGATGATCCCACTGTTCTGGTTACTGAAATGAGTAGCCATGGAAGCCATGAATGCAACCTGCAAAAATGCGGTTCTTACTTGGGCAGTTGTTCACAAAATGCACACATGTAGTGGAATCAGAATGTTTTTCCTGTATTTGTAGCCTGTTTATTTTCCTGACAGAGATGTTCTTCTGAGGCTTGCTCCAAGGCTGTTAAACTCCAGTAACAAAACTCCCATTGAATGAAACTGGAAGAGGGCTAGACTTCTTACATTCAATTGGACTATTCATAACTGTAAAAGTAAGTGTATGGGCAAGTGTTTGCAGGTCAGGACTTTCGGATTTTATTTACTCTAAAGTCTCTCTAGAATGATGCAACAGAAAACTGGTATTGAAATGGATGATGTTTCCAACAGAAGTAATTTAATTAGCTTTTTATATATTCCTCAATGCATTTAGATTGGATATTGCTTTTAACTGGGTGTGTGAAGTACATAATGTGCAGTAAAATCCATGCACATTAGTGCTTCTTGATAAGCTACCTTCAGAGATACGTTAGCATTTAGATCCTTTAGAAGTGGGGTTGCTGGTGCTCATCATTCAGTGCTTTTTCTTTCTTACCAGTTGCCCTGTGGCCACAGTCACAACAACAGAGAGTGGTGGGGGCCAAAAGGGGAAACCAAGAAATTGGAAACTGTTCTTCAACTTCGTGCTACACTTCCTGCAGTGAGACCTATTGGCTGTGGAAGATGTTTCATACGAAGCAGTGCAAATCCTCCCACACTGGACAGTTCAAATTACCCTCATCAAGATACCACGGAACATCGCTGACAACTTGTGTAGGTCTTTTGTGCGAGTCTGTAGCCTGACTGACAGTAAATGGGGTACAGGGAGACTTGCTGCATTTGAATGCCAGAAGGTCACATAGTGACTTGGCATTTTATCTCTATCTATTAACAACTTCTTAGATGAGAAGTGTTAAATTACAGTTATTACTGCCCATTGCAAAAATGACATTTTTCATGAGATTCCAGCTATACCAATACTAAAAAAATATCCACTCCAAACTTCTTTTGATTTGAGATGGAAGGCAGAATGAAACCAAAAGAGGCAAAATCAAATGCCAGTCCAGATCCAGCAGTGCAAATCATTAGCCATCTGCTCAGAAATTTGAGGAGCTCCAGATGTGAGCTGAAAGCCTCGGCTGATTTTCCTTATCCCTGCATGATGGCAAATTGTTAACGTCTTGCTTCTCAGCCAGGATCACATCGAAGTTCATCATGTCTTAAAGGAAAGCAGCTGCAATAGCAGCTTGATGGAATTTATTACTTTTTGTCTAGATTCCATTTCACATTCTCTTTAACCCCAAGCTACTTTTCTTGGGCTGATGAGAAGAGTTGAAAAAGATGTCCTTTCTCCCTGGACCTCATTTTGAAGTAGCAGATTGAAATGGACATAACAAGTCTGTCAAAATAATTCTGCTACTTCAAATAGTATTATATTCAAAAGTGTTTTTTCCTCTAACTACCCCTGCTCTAAAGTTCTTAAGCAGGATGTTAACAAGAAATGATATGCTATACTGCATAAAGAATTTTTGAACACCGGTTAAAACCAGTGATGGAATTTCACTTGGAAATAGGTATCGCAAGATGAGCTTTTGTAATTCATCCCCTCTCATTGTTTAGTTTTTAATTAAATTACTACCACTATCCTTTTTGTAAAAAAAAATTAAAAAATATATGTTGCTACCTCGTTTTAAAATTACGAAAGGATTTATGTTGAATACAATTACAACAAACATGTTTTTAAGACACTCGGCTATAATGGCAATTCCAGGTAATTCTTTAAGAATTCTTTAATAATTCTGCTTTAATACAAAATTTCAGTAATTTTTTTAACTATTTTCATTGTAAATTTTATTCTGTGCAATTATCCTATCTTCATGCAACGTAGGATAGAGAATTTAAGCACACACAATGCCAAGAAATCCAAAGCCATTTTCCCATACTGCACATGTTGGTTGTACTGTTGGTTTTGCTGTTAATTTGTATACCTTTTATGAGGATATAAACCATATATGAATGACTATTAATAGGAAACAGTATTATCCAGTTAATATGTGTAGATCTATAAAAAGATCAGAACTGCCATTTTCCCCACAGTGTTTGGAAGTGGGATATCTTTTTGTGCATGTTTGCTACTCCTGTTTTGTCCCTTCTATGGTGAACTTGGTTTTGGGGGTATGAATCAGGTCAGGTCTAAGACAACTCCATTAAAGTGTGTATGTGTTAGTGAGGTTGCAAATTCCCTGTAGTTTCTGGGGATCTGTATTCTCTGTGGTGTCTGAAGTCACATTTGCCCAAAAGCAGCAGTGACTGATTAAGCTGAGTTGTTCTTCTAGATCGTCAGTAATTGCAACAGGATCCTAAATGCTTCTATTACACGTAAGCTTTCTGAAGCTGAATCTGAGTGCAATCACTTGTCGGTGCAAATGCACCTAGTACCATCTGAAGTTCTTTAGGATTCCCACACACGCTATTGCTACACTGCAGTCTACAGAGTGGACAATCCCTTTCGCAACAGCAACCAAGTGTCTTAGTTATCCAAGTCCCATTTTCTTTCCGTTTCCTTAACAGACTACATCACATCAGCACTGTACTGCAGATATTTATATATACACACGTAAGCTCTCTGCCACCTTCCACATTCCTGGGACATGAAGGAACTCTAATACAAAACCTATAGGAATATGCCAACACAGTGCTGAGCCCAAACAAATATATCCCAACTCTCATCAGAGCTTACCACCTCAGGCTTGCACCTATGTTTTAATGTTCGTCTGGCTTTTGGGTAGTTCATTCATAGGCAGAACCCGCATGCTTCTCAACATGTTTAAGGTATCTAGACATGCAAAACCACAGATAGCTACTGAGAGGTTTCTTTCAAAAGCAGAGAACTTCTGTCTGCACTTGGAGGTTTTGACCCCATGGTTTCAAGAGCTGGATACATACGCTTTTGAGAATCTCACAAAGGCTGGCTGACCTGAGAAGCATGTGCCCGAGTGACTCCTTTACTCCTTTTGTATGTCATGGGAAGCGCAGTTATGTATGTGATACAGCTTGACAGAAAAATGATAGTCCCAGCTATTCTCTTCTAATAGCCCAGATACTGGCTTTCTGCCCTAAAAGGGAACTGTGTATGTTTCTTGCTGCCCATTTCTCAGCTGGATTCTTACTGTAAAGAAAGGCTAAGCCGTAATGTCTGCCTTTTCCAGGAAGATCTGACAAAGCACATTTGTCAGTCATGACAAGGGATATATATGTCTCTCACTATATTAATTTACAGGGGAATTTGCTTTTTAAGTATCTTACAGTATTTAGATGCTGTTTTTTGGAGAAGAAAACCATAACCAGAGAACTTATGCAGCCAACACAAGCCAGAGATTTTGTACCTGTAGCTCTGGAGGAATCCCAGGGTAACCCTTCTCCCCTTTGGGTCCATGATGGCCACGCTCTCCCCTTGGTCCCATATCTCCTTTGTCTCCTTTCTCGCCTTTGGCTCCTTCCTGTCCAGTTGCTCCATTATTTCCATTGTTTCCATGATTCCCTTAAAGAAAACAGAGCTTTCTGTTTAACTTAAATAATTTCATATAATATATTTTAATAGATCTGTGACAGGGTCCTTTTTCACCAGTTTGCAAGACATGGAATTTTCAGTATCATAAACCCAGACTGAGCTGCGATGGATAAGAAACAGCTGTGTGGTTAAACTGAATGTGAAGGTTCTGATGCGTAAGTTTCCAGAAGGATGTAGATTAATGTTTAAGAGTTAACCTTCATGCTGTCTTTGTGTTGCTGGATAAACTGCCAATGTCTCAAGTCATTGTGGTATTGGGGAAATGTGGAAGGACAAGACCTCAGCAGACTTGAGGCTCAAGGAAAGAGAAAGCCATGGCCTACTGGTACATACCAGGAAGCCTGCATAAGCACTCTTCCTTTTCCTTTTGTGTATTTCCTGATAATTTTCTGCCTTTCCTAACATTTTTCTGCCTTTAAAACATGTCCCTGGCCGTGAACTATCTAAACGACCCCTCTGAGCAGAGGATGCTGCTTAACTGAAAGGGTTTGATTGAGTACATTCTCCTAGATTTAAAGAAATACTTTTTTTTTAATTGAAGCTTTTCTGGGTTATATGTTTCTTGCACAAGTGTCACTATAAAAACATATTCCTGCATCTGATGCTTAATGAGGAAATTACTGAGCAAACGTCTGTGCGACTGACAGAATTTTGAAGTTGGCTAGAATCAATGAACAATTATTATGCCTACCTGAAGCAAAAGCCTGACCTTTCAAGTAATTACTCATGGGATTAGTAAGTGTCACCATTGTTCTAATTCTACCTGAATTGAAATTAGATTCTTTGTCACTTGGCTTGTTCTCTGATTAGTCACTCTAGTTACAAATTTACGAGAAGAATGATGTTGTTTGATATGAAATCTAATGGATAAGTGATTCTTCAGAGTTTTTGTAGTGTGAAAATTAAAAAAATATTTCAAACAAGGAAGCTAAATGGTGGAAAAAATAACCCAATTTTTGTTTGGATAGAGAAATCAGTAACTACTAAGAATAACAAGAATGATCCTTTGTGTAAAGCCAGAACTACTTCTCTGTCAGTTCAGAACAGAGTCATTTGATTCAAACAAGGGAGAAGCGGTTGTTGTCATTCCCCTTATGGGCACAAGAATACGAAATGTGGCAGGTGAAGGAGACAGAGAAGTTCCAGGGTGCAGAAGGTAAGGTTGCTATCAGACATACATTTGTGGCATCCTGTGGTGACAGGAAGAGTGACTGAGAAACATCCCCACATAAGAAAAGAACAAAGCTGGAACCGGGCTGTGTCCCAGTGTGTCCACTACAGCCTTGAAAGTGTAGGTCTAATACAAACTTGTGTCTTGCTTCTCAGAAGCCAACAGTTTATTAATGTGTAATGCAGTCTTTCTGGACAAGAGACCTCACCATTAGATATTCTTACTTCTGTAATGGTACTTTTATACAGGATTGATGCATGAATAGCTCACAGTAAGCTAATACCAGATATGCCTATTGACCTTATTTTACCTAACATATAAAATACATCAATGTAACAGTATTTCAGTATCTCGCCAGCTGAAGCTAGTTCTTGAAACACTTCATTCACTCAGATTTAACTTCATAACAGTCAGGTTTAACTGTTACTGTAAACTGCTTCTACCCAAAATCACCACATCATTGATTTTTGGTGTGTATGCTTATCTGTCATGTTTGTTTACTGTCAGTATATTTGTGAGGCAGAAGGATTATGAAATTGCATTTTTATATTATATATATAAAATGATATATACATATTATATATATTATATATAACATACTAGCTTTTGAAGATGAGGCAAATCTGACAGTCAGTGATATTCTGGGGGGCTGGAACTAGATGGTTTTAAGGTCTTTTCCAACCCTAACCATTCGGTGTTCATTTACATTATATGCATTCTGTAAGAACAACAATTTTCAAATCCCTGAAGATAGCTGTAACAATCTTACACCAACAGCTATCTTTTTCCCTTCTCTAGGCTCTTCTTTTTATGCTGTTATCAGATAGCCTTTTCTTGTGTATTCTGTTCTGTGTGCATTTTTAACTGTGGGGGGAGAGGTGGGGAAAGGTACTTTTTTATTATGGAAGACAAGAAGAAGGGAAAGAAGATATTTCTATGAGTGAAGCATTTTTTTGTGTGTCTCTGCAAAATATTGGCTAGCAGCATGCTACATAAAAAAGTTTCTGAATGCAGTACACAATAGCATAGCTGGATATTCAAAGGTTATCGCAATAATCAACTCCAGCGAACAAGTTCTTCCAACTTTAATGGAAGTTTCATGCTGCTTTAAGAAGTTAGACCCATTTTGCATAGAAATGTAATAAGAGTACATTCAATATGAACTTGTGAAAGCTGAATTTTAATAAAAATGGGTTTTCACTGAGGAAAGCTGTAAAGTTGAATTGGAAATCTCTGTCTCCACAGAAATTATAGAAAAGTTTGTTGCTGAATCTGTCATGAAACACTGATATTTGGACAATTCTTTGATATTTCATAGAATAGCCTGTAACTTACAGCCTGAAATTAGACTGATCAAAAAATGAATTAGACTTCATCTTTACCTGGCATCCCAGGGGGCCCTGGAGGTCCTGGGGGCCCTTGGTAGAGTCGAAGTCCAAAGTCACCACGGCAGCAGGAACTGCAGTCTGGATTCTGTGGTCCACTTTGTGGGGGCTAAGTGCGCAAAAATAAGCTTTAAATAGCTCATTCATTGAGGGCATCAATCACATGCATGTCGATTACAGGGTCTTCATTATATATTCTCTGTTTATATATTTGGTAAGTTTTCAAAACACTTCTTATGTGGGCTGAAATCTCCCATGCTTCGGTTGTCCCTTAAGGTACTATTTTTGGAAGATTTAAGGGAATAGCTCTTCAAGCGTTTTAAGTGCTATATGGATATTTAAAAAAAAAGAAAAAAAAACACTTGTCAAATAATGAGGGGCTTAAAAATAAAATAATACCAAGTAATGAATGTTGGAGGAGTATTACAGTTAGGTTCCCCTATCCTGCTTTTCAGTGATCCCACACTTCAGCTGACCTTTGTTGGCAAAAAAGTGGTAAGACATAAAGGGAAAACATAAGACATTTGGCCTTCAGCAATGAAGTATTCTCCACTAAACATAAAGAAAACTATGTTGGACCACCCAAAGGAGGTATCAAAAGATGTATGTGCAGCATATTCCTGTTTGTGGCCCTAGACGTGCATATTTACAGGTTACTAAACTTGGGAGAACCTAAAAATGTGCCAGAAAACATGACAAAATTTGACATGACCGCAACAGCTGGTGTTAGGGCATTTGATTATCTTGTGATTGTGTGTGTGTAACTATGAAAACCCATTACTATGCTGAAACTAGTATAGTAGCATAAATAAAGTAATGACTTTATTATATGCAGCTCTACTGCTGTAATAATAGTTTGATAATAGCTTTGTTTTGGTACTTTGCTTTTCTGTATTATTGTATTTATACTTGTGGAGTCTCATTCAATCCTGGCTGGATTTCGTAACTAGGCACTTGTGGTGATCTATTGGTCACAAATCTCCTTATGGGTCAGCTGAGGTAGAGGTCCAGAATCTGATTTTATTTCTCTACCTCCATCTCATTTCTGCCTCTTGTTTCTGTTTCTTACAATTCTTTGTTATTATCATATGGTGCAAATCTGCAGATCTTCAATTCTGGAGGGGAATAATTAACACTAACCTGACTACTACTTTTCTCTAATTGTTCTACTGTTTGTTTTCTTCCCTTTTTTCCCACTCATCTGTATCATCATCAAATTATTTGCTTAATGCAGACCTGTCGGTTTAAGGGCAGCAAACAAACCTCTGGTGGGATGGAAGCTGCCAAACGAACATGTAGATGTGCTTTATTCCTGCCCTCAAAGTCATCAATTGGCTTGATCTGAAACCCTAAAGCTTTTGGCCCATGTTTTTGTCAACACCACGCACACCCACTGCATACATTAATTTCAAGAGGCTTGGGATTTTATGTTTGTGGATACAGAAAAGACCTTTCATGCCTCTAAAATACTGCAACTGCTCCAATAGAACAGACACATGTTCTCTGCAGCTGGAACCACCAACTGAAGCTACCATGGGAATAAAAGCTGACCTGACAGCCCCACAAATACTATTCGTATTTAAAGAGTTACAGAAATGTTAAGATTTGCCAGTGGGGCGAAGGTCTTATTTATGGGTTTTGATCAATACTATGCTTTTTACGTTAATTCTGGGTAAGGTCTATACTTTATGAGAAAAATTAGTTCTGCCTGTAGGACTGTCTGTTCCATGAGAACCTGTTTGTATCTTTCCTGCTGTTTATCTCCTCCAGCTGTTTAGGAAGAACGTAAGTGACAATCACAAGGTACACTCTTTAAAGCTTTTATAACATGAGAGAAGTAGCCCTGCTTTCAGCTCATTTTCAGTCCTTGAAAGGGAGCCAAGTACAAAACAGCTGGAAGTCCGCAAGCATTTTGCACCATCTGAAATGCTAATGTTGCGCTGAGATTAAAATCTCCAGCTCTTTTTTTACAGTGCTCCATATTCATGTCTAATTAGAAGGCAAACTATTCACAAACCTGCCAAGAACAAGTAAGTCCTAGAAATATTCAAAAACTTAGAACTGTGGCTTGTAGGGAAGGCATGAATCTGGCAAACTGGACTGCATGTGAGATTCTGTCTGTGCAGGTACGATTTGTCTTCTTTATCCAATGCACTGAAATCCTGAACAACATTGTTAGCTAACCAGCTATGTTGTTGTAAAATAGGTACTAGTGCTGGTCATAGCCGAGTGCAGTTTGGCATTATCTCTCAGAAAGCTTTTTAGATCTGAAATGAGGCAAGTCCTGCCAGCCTGGTTGTATGAGAACAGTTCCACAGACTTCGCAAAAACTACTTACTCAAGTCATGTGGTAGTATTGACTTACTATCTTTACTGATCCTTTGACTGGGAGGAGAAAAATCTTCAGCCAGCTGCCAAGAATAATGAATATTGAGTATACCGTTTTAATCTGTAAACCCAGAGAACTTAATGAAGAGTACATTTAAAGGGAGAATGTGTTCCTAAAGTAAAATTACACTCAAATGAGACAAAGAGATTAATTACAACCTACTTGCCAAAGGTGTCCTATGCAGCCATTTGCACATAAAGTCTATCACACAATGAATTCTTGGCATAGCTTTCAGACCATGAATATGATTTAGGAGCTTATGAAATACATCTGCCACACTGAAATCCTAATACAGATAGAAACCTGGAAATATTTCTGAGGCTATTTGCTGAATTTCCTGTGACTTAGTGTGTAGGAGGTAGTTCTAAGCAACAGATGGTCCATAAAATTCCCTTAACTTACAGCTGTGAGCGAATCTTAATTGGAGAGCCAGTCCTTTTTCACTTCCTGATTAACCTTATGGGTTTCTGATATATTGTCTAAGACAATGCAGAAGACAAGTAATGTACGTCCACCATTCTTAGCTCCTGTTCTGAATGCGAAATAGTATGTCTCTGGGGGGGCTAAGGCTCTCTCTCCTTGCCCCTTCCCTAGAAAACAATTAAACAAACAAAATTTAACAAAAATCAGGGTAAAACACCAGTAGGCAGAGGGGTACTTGAAGATTTTCAAAGAGCAACTTGGAAAGGAACAATATGTCTGGTATGGCTCTCCCTAGTCACAGAGTTCTTGCACTTGAGAAATGTCATTGTATTTTATGTAAGTTACCAGCAGGGTGGAAACTGGCGTTGTACCCAGTGCAGCAAAGACAAATGCTATTGTCTCTATTCCACAACAGGGAATAGGACCATTAAACAACTTTAGCAATAAGGATAAATCCTCTAACCAGACCTAAAATAACCAGGAAAGTGGGGTGAAACAGCTTTCAGATAGCTCAAGAGGAAGAGAGAGGTTTGATATGAATTAAAATATGTCTTTGTTCCTTCTCTGCCTGAAAATCCCTGGATCTTGGAGATGGAAAATACCTATTGTGTCAGCCATTCTGTGATGGATTATCCCTGTTGTACATCTGCTAGTGCTCCATTTCATTTCAGTAAGCCAAAAATTGCATCATTTCCCCAGCAAAGATTGCTTCTTAGAGCAGATCTGGCAGGTAAATGACTGCCGTCAGCTGTACTTGGCCCTGCTGGGTTTGGTTTTAATGCCACAGCCTCTTCCCCAGGAGGCAACTCCAAATATGTTGCATTAGATTCTCTGATGAGACACACATGCACCACATGCACAGTGACACTTTCTGTGAGGGGAAGTTTCACTCCTAAAACAGTTGTAATTTTGTATTAAACCCTGCATTATCTGAAATTATGTCAGTTTAAAGGAGAATCTTCTTAAAGTACCAATAATATATGGTCTGTAGTGTGCAGATGCACAATTGTCTCTGCAGTAGAGAGGTACACAGACTAGCTGGCTCATTTAACTGTATACCTGATGGCTTACAGTGTTTACATGCTGCAAGTGCAATTTAACATACCTACAATTAAATATCTATTTTACTGAATACACTGGAGGAACATACAACTCCTGCCCAAGAAATACGAAATGCAAAGCACTATGAAATTTAAATACAGGGAATGTAGTGGTGTATTAAACCTATTCCCATACTTGGATATGTTTCAGTTATTCAAGCCTAGAGCAGGATTAAAATCAAATCTCTTCTCTGCTGAAGAATGTTATTATTCAACACTTTTCTGCATGTCCATGATTTTTAGAATTCAAAAAATCATCATTTGATCTGGAAGAGTTTTAAAGAACAAATTATAGAATGTGAACTATACAGAGCTCAAACATTTGTATCAGCAGTAGGAATAAAATACTCAAGTTCTTGTTGTTTCTAAAAACATCCATCCACAAAAACTTTGTTTGAGTGGAATTTTGTTTTGCCTAGTGCTAGAAAAAAGCTTCATCTTCTGCCCTTCAGATTTTACCTTCTAAATTGGACTGAAATATATTATGTATAATGAGATTATGTCATTTTCCCTTTGCTGTGAACTAATGACTGTAAAATCTAAAATGCTATATAAAAGGCATAGAAAGATTCCCAGCTTAAAATGCAGATACTACAGATGATTTAGTTTCACTCTGAGACTTTTTTCCACTGAAACTGTCAAGTTGACATATTTTATTATTAAATCTACTCATTACAGTAGCATTGGGTTTTCTCAAGCTATTTTTATAATAAAAATTTCGAACGCTGAGAATTTCATTGTGCTTGTCTCAAGCTCAAAAATATACTTTGTATACATAATTATCAAGCAAACTTATTCTCTGCTACTTCAATCTTTCCACATACCTCTAGAAATTATGTCATTTTCCTTCACATCCAAGTGAGATAGCAGAATCTAAAACTTTAATACATTAAATAAGTAATACCTTGACATAATTAAGAGACTGTATATCATAATATATGACTGCACAGGATCAGAGGTTCAGCAAAACAAAGGGCTGCTGTCTGTATTGAAACCAGTGTCCCCAGCCACGACTGGTTCTACCAGCTCATTTAAAGATCCTATAAAGCAACCAGAAGGATACAGACCAATACACACTTTTAATAAAAGTATTTCATAAATATATCACTAATAATCTTAGCAAAAAAAAAAAAAATCTCATTAGCTTTAAAGACATCTTTAGAAGATTAATTCAGAGTACCTGGACTCTATCTGAGGTAGTCAGTTCTACATCATCTACCTCTGGTCTCAGGACTTTGTGGTCTGTAGAAGTGCTATTATCAACAGTCCACTCTATAAGTTGACTCCGCTGTTTCAATATTTCCCTGCTTCTGGAACCTTTATGGCCAGTCTGGTGATGACTTTGCAATACTTTGGCCACTGGATTATAAGATCTTCTGCTCACCTCCATGTATTCATCTTGACACAGGCAAAATGGAAGAAAAAATAAAGCTAGCAGATGCCAACTGATGAAATCCTTCTCTGCCATGTTATTCAAAGTAATTTTTCAGGAGTCCAGCAAATGCCTTGCAGGAGAAGCTCTTTGCTGCACCAGGAGCTATGTGGTCCTTTCAGCTTTTCCACTAGTAAGCCTGGCACTGAGACCAGTACCAGGTTTTATACAGTTGCGTGCAATAAATAAAACTAAAAATGCCAAAGTGACAGGATCCTTCATCCAAAATCAGTCATGCTCCTTTAAACAAACCAGGCATTATTCACCACTTCACCACCACAAGGAAAATTGATTTGTATGCTGGAAATGACCACAGCATTTAACGGACTCCCGTGGTTCCTATTTGGGGGCATTAAAAAATGTAGCACCTTTTTTTTTTTGGCATGTTTTTGTTTAAGTGTGAAAAAATGTGATGGAAATGGAGAACATGTGGCTAATGGTTTACGCTCCTTCATTAGACATGGAAAGGCTGTGAATTCACATTCTTAAATGTCTTTTGGACACAGTCACCTTCCTTATTTGCCAGGAAATTCACACACACAACTGCGTCAGCCCAGTTTGAAAAATCCTTCCAAGAGCAATTAGGAAACAAAAGCACAAGAGGAGCTTTTGCATATGATCCTACCCCAATGGCTGCTTCTGACTATGCTTTTCATTCACTGAAAGAAAAATATTGAATTTCTGTCAGTTGGCCAACGGTGGAAGCAGACTGGGTAAGTAGTTCTGAAAAACTGGATTGAATTCAGATTCACAGAGCCCCATTTCTCAGCATTAGTTCAACCTACCCAGCCAGGCAATATTTTCTCCCTTGAGTTCCCAGTGTTTTCCTAAATGCAACTGCCAAACCAAGTTTTATGTCTTTGCTGCCAAGTAAATAGATTTACTGGGGACTTATTTCAGACTAAAAGAATCAAATTATATAGGTATAATAATATCCTTATATTTTTTGAACCACCCACTAGTATCCTCTAAAGCCACAACTGCACAATTCAGTGCTGCAAATGCATACACATCCACGCGCACACCCAGCCTTCCTTAGAGCAAGTAGCTACTTGGCCTGTGAGAAACCTTTCACCAGTCTGTGGCTACAGCATTACTGAAGGCATCAGTCCCAGCTTCACATTGTGATGGACTGGCTCATACTTAAGTTGTCCAAGACTGACCACCCCGCTTAGCATTTGTGTGGGGCTCCTCTATGGCGGATGAAATGTGAAGGCTGTGGTACAGGCTGCTACCTAGGAACATCTGTAGGATGTAAGGCTCAAGCAGCAAGGATTTTGAAAGGGGCTGTTGCTTTTCTGTCTAAATGGAAGATGAACCCAGGAGAGAGATATGGGATGTGAAGGCTGCTCATTCAGATCCTTGTAGATGCTGGAAAGGATGCACAGTTTGTTGCTGAATGATGGCAAGAAAGCACTCTGTTTTGTTCAGCTCTGAGGCCTCCAACATAAGAAGAACATGGAGCTGCTGGAGCAAGTCCAGGGAAGGCCACAAAGATGATCAGAGGAATGGAGCACCTCTGCTATGAAGACAGGCTGGGAGAGTTAGGCTTGTTCAGCCTGGAGAAGAGAAGGCTTCGAGGAGACCTTACAGCAGCATTTAATATTTAAAGGATGGCTACAAGAAATCTGGAGAAGGACTTGTTACAAGGGCATGTAGTGACAGGAGAAGGAGGATTGACTTTAAACTGAAAGAGGGAAGATTTAGATTAGATATTAGGGATAAGCTCTTCCCTGTGAGGGTGCTGAGGCACTGGCACAGGGTGTCCAGAGAAGCTGTGGCTGCCCCATCCCTGGCAGTGTTCAAGGCCAGGTTGGACGGGGCTTGGAGCAACCTGGTCTAGGGGAAGGTGCCCCAGCCCTTATCAGGGACTTGAAACTAGATGAGCTTTAAGGTGCCTTCCAACCAAAACCATTCTGTGATTCTATGATTCTACATTCACATCCTTTCTGATCCGAGAAGATCGTAGGAGGCAGCAGGGCAGGGCAAGTCACATCATGGGAGGAGATGCAATGGAGGGGAGTGAGCAATGATCAGTTGGGTATGTCTGCTGGTGGCATGAGTACAAAGAGTGCCAGCATTGGCCTGTACCCAGCCATTCACCTTGACGATACCCTATTGAATAGTCTACAGAGAGGAGTGTGTGGCTGTGCCAGTCCCTCAGAAAGGCAGTGCCACTCACCACAGACGCAAGGAGTCCAGGCTGAGCCAGCACAGTGCTTGGGACTCCTGGGAGCAAAGGCAGCCAAGGGCAGGTCTTCTTTTTTCTCCTTCTCCAGTGGCCAAGCATGGCACAAGAGCAGAGACCTCAGCGGCTGTGGGCTCAATGTTTCCCCCCCGAGGATGACCATGATCTGATTCCTGCAACACTGCAGTTGTCTCAGGGGCAGCCCCAGGCACAGGGGAGGCTCAGCCCACGGTCTTGCCAAACAGAGATTTGTCTCCTTGCTTCGTGTTTCTGTTGTACTCATCTCCCCGATTTTGAAGCTCTAATGGCAGGAATCTTAATTCAATTTCAGTGAAATCTTGGATTCTCAAGCCAAACTTTCAGGATCATTGAATAACTCTTCATAGATTACCTCTTCAGCCTTGCTTCAGTATATAAATATTAATTAACTAAAGATCCTTGCAGAAGAGGCTTGCTAGACTGCGCCTTATGACTACTGAAAATCCTGATCTAAAAAAAAAAAATTGCAAATATTCCAGTTATTTCACTGGGAAGGAGAGATGGAAAGGAATTTACTGGGAAGCAAAACAAGACCTCTGAAAACACAGCTCCAGATTTTGGAAACTGCTGCCACCACAGTGGGGTTTCTTTTTCACTTCGAGAGGATTTTCTTGGTAGGAAGAGAGTTTGAAAACTCTGGCCTCTGTAAAATTGCTCAGAGGCAAGCATTAATTTATCTTGGCACTTAATAATTTGATTCAGCAAGTGCTGGGACAGCACTGATGTTTTCGGCTGCCATTAGGTCTTTCATGGCTTTCCAAACTCCATTCCAGGAGCTTCCTGTGGCAAATGTTTCCAATGTGAGTAATGAACATCCACAGCACCCATGTCCCAAAGGGAGGAGGAATAAAACCAATGAGATTTGGGCTTCAAAGCCGCCATCTATCATTTCATGCAAAAGCTGAAACAAGCATGTTTCTTGGCAGCCATCAGAGAGAAGAAAGATTCCCTTCCTCACTTTTAATAGAGTCCACCTGGTTCCTACACATCACTCTTCTGCTAGTTTGATGCTACACACATTTCTTTGGTCCAAATTAGTAATAGATTAGACTATGTTCTATTGTTTCCAATCTTTTGAACAGAATCCCATCTCCACAAGTCTTTGCTGCCCATCATTCTCCTCTGTGCCTTCAGCAAGGAGTAGCTGTCCCACAAAACTGTTGTCTACAGGCATAAATTTTTGACTTGGGATCAAAAAGCAATGGAGGAACTGATTCTGATTCTCCATTTTTGATTTCCAAATGGTCAAATACACTTATCCAAACATATATGATTCTAAATAATAGGATGTCAAGATAGCAATGCTTTGTACTGGCCTATCTCCTTGCTCTGTGTTTGCATACCTAGCATCACCCTTACAGCCTTTGCCAGCTGAGCACAAGCACAGCTGTGATTACCTTTGCCTTGTTGCTCTCTGGCAGCAAGAATATGACTCCACCTGGTAACCAGCTGTTTAAGATGAAGTGAAGCACATGGATCTGTTTATGTCAGATAATGAGATATCAGGAAGAAAGCAGTAGCTGCTGGTTGAAAGCTGCTTCTCACCTTCTCTGCAAGCAAAAACTCTGAGAGAAGGGGGACTCGTAATAACTCATTATTATGAGTTATCATAATAACTCATTATTGTGTTATTCATATTGGCACTGGGAAAGTGGGTTATTAGGTTATTATGTAAAACCTGCAGGCCACTGTATCAACAGGCATCAAACAAAATAATTTACAAAACCAGAAAAACAAAAAGCCTGCTGTGTCCCAGGCGAGCAATATGTAATAAAACATTTACTGTTCTTTCACTTAGAAATAATCCTACTTGCAGTGATAACTCACCCATACTAGACAGGTAATCTGAACTTGCACTTTCACAAGCAATCTCCACTGAGAAAGTCAGGCCACAGCTGAAGGGGTAAAGGCCACCCAGCACCGTGCCACAACCAAATTCCCAGCCCACTATAGTAATCTGGGTTCACTACTTCCTCCGTGGGCTGCCAGCTCTGCTCCTGCTGGGCTGCCTGCTCCCTCAGTCTGGCACTGGCAACACTGGAGCCAAGCCTCCTATGCCCAATGCCAATACAAAATACACAGCACTCTGCTGCCCTTTGGTTTGCTGCTGCAACAGCCACAGACCTCAGGGTGGCTTTAAAACTCCTTCCCACCTTCATGCTGACCACTGGAAACCCACATGAACAACTGAGGTGTGTTCCTTGAAGGCTTGTGTGATCTGCTCCTAGTTTCTGCAGGAGTTTTGGTCAATAACTGGGATTCAGGCAAAACCCACAACTCTCCTCCTTGAGCAAGCCTTCAGAGATGGACCACCAAGGGGAATGCAGATCCACGTGGCTTTCCCCATGTTGTGCACTCAAGGAATGCTTACAGTCACAGTCTGTGCAATGTCTTCTCCATGGCTAAACACTTTCTTCCCCTGTAAGCCACTGCTGCTGAGCTCTGCAGATGTGATGGTGCAGTACATGCTTTGGGCAGTTTGTGACACTCAAGCTGTGGGTAGTTTGAAGTTACACCAGTTCACAGAGGTATGCAGCAGTGAGGTGTGTTTTGCTGGTGTTTTCCTCACTGGAAGCCATCACTAGCTGTCAGAAGACATGGCTCCTGCCCCTCACCCGAAGCAGATGCATCTTCAGAAGGGCCTGGATCCCCCATAACTTGAGCTTTTCCATCTATCAGGGAATCCTCTTGCCTTGCTTGACACTGGCATTTTCTTTCCAATATAATATGAGAGCTGTGGCTCAGGTCCTGGCTCTCCACCATCCTCCACTACCCCTTGAACCCCTCTGGTTTGCCCAGGGAGGTACTGTGGGGTGATGTGCTCCATCACATGTGCTACTGTACTGCCACTGCTACCTCATCCTCCACTTTTTATAGTCTAAAAGACATCTTTCCTACTTTCCATACACCTAAACTAAGGGAACCCCTCAATAAAAAGAGTTAACAATAGGCAGAAATTCAGCCCTGAGCTCCTAGCTACCAGCAGAGCCACCATCCTGGGTGATGCTCCAAAACACAGCACATCTGCACAAAACCTTGCTTCAG